ATGAAAGCTTCATGGGATATCAACTGCCATGGGGAAAAGCATAGTTTTCTGAAAATTGCTGTCCAGATAGGTGTAGAACCATTGAAGCACTATAAATTTGATGATCAAATTAGACAAATGAAATTATGCAGTACACTGGTCTTCTCCAGCCAGGCACTTTTGAGATTTGGTAGGACTATGGCAAATAGGGATTCTCAAGATAGGATTTCCTAAAACCATGTTGTCCAGAAATACAGCCTTTAAGACATCTGGAGAGCCAATGCTTGGGAAAGGAACAGTGAACAATATTACGGTAGAAAACCACCATTCTGTATAATTCTAGGAAAAGTAATCTAAACATTGCATTGAACTGCATCCAGTTGTAGAAATCAGGCCAACGGAACTGGAAGGCTGCACTCTTGGGGATTAAGGTAGCTCTCAATTTAACACTTAGCAATGGTTCAAAATTATGACCAACCCCAAAATGGGGATTTCCAACCCAGATTTTAAGTTCCATTGGTCACCCTCCCCCCTCCTGCAGCCATGGGACTTCACAGCTGCTTTTACAACCATTGATTTGCTTAACAACCACAGTGTTCACTTAACAACTTTGGCAGCCACATTACTACCGCTGTGTTTGTTTACTGAGTGCTGCATAAAAGGTTGTAAAACTGACTGATCCATTTTATGATCGTTGGAACTTACGACCAATTTACTATTTACAACTCAAGGGCTACTTGTACAAGGATAGCTGGTGTGTGTGGGGGGAACTTGCTGACTAAACTGAAAACTGCAGACAACCAGTGCCTACAAGCGCCCAGCTACTAACTGTTCAAATACCTTGAAAGTTCCTTTTCAGTTTTCATTTCAGTTGCTTACAACTTTCATATACAATGAACTCTTGATTTTCTGGATTTCTACTGAACAGACGGGTCCTCCTTTTTTAAAAAGTCCTCCTTTTTTAAGTACTGTTCTCCTTCGAAAAGTGTCCTCCTACATGTCCTCCTTTTTGATATTTGAAGACTAATCTGCAGGACTTTTTTTTCTCATAGAACACTCAGAACGGCATTCCGGCACCTTTTTTTGATGTTTTTTTTTCCAACTTTTGCATGAGCTGTACTACTCCCACTATTGGCTTTCAAAAGCCAATAGGAATTGCTGCTGAGCGTGCCAAAACACCCAGCCGGCAAACTTTGCACATGTAAATTGTCTGCAGCGAAGGCGAATTGGCAGGAACTTTGCATCCCTCCCTGTTATCCAACTACACCATCTCCTAGTTAGTCCCTGGAGGAGACTGGAATGGCGATGCCACGATAACTTTCTCTTGATCTTCGGGCCTGTTAGGGCAATAATGGCTGCGGGTGCAAGAGGCAGGGGCAGCGGGGCTTCTGTGGGCAGGGGTGTGAGGGGTGGCAGTGGCTGGCTGCCCCCCGTGCTGTGAGAGCCAGGGGGGCTTGCTCTACACGGGGCTGTGCAGGGTGGGCGGTGGTGCTGGCGGGGCAGCTGCAGGTGGGGTGTGTCAACGGCGGGCTGCCCCCCCGGGGCCAGCGCCAGCACAGCTGGTGCTTTGGGAGCCATGGGGCCTGCTGTACACGGCAGCGCAGCAGTGGTGGCGGGGTGGCTGCAGGCGGAGGTGTGGCATGTAAGCATAATTACAATATAAAATGTTATTGTTACAAATGTTTTTATTATGCATTTATCATATTATAGTGTATTCTGTATTATTGTTGCAATGAATAAAATGTTTCTTTTATTTACGATATTTTTTCTTCAATTTATTTGTGTCCTCCTTTTCATTGTAAAAAAAGGGGGTCACCTTAATAACTGCCCCCCTTGCAATAACTCGAAGCATTTGTTCTTACAAAGGATAGGCTCATGAATCTGTCTTACCCTTTTGCCAAAGTATAATGAGATGGAAAGATAAAGACCAATCCAATAAATTAAGGGAGACAAGGGTTAAATTACACAATCACAGTTATTTAGTTCAAAAGTTACAGGGTTTGATTCTGATAATACTGGCAAATAATCCATGTTGCATCATTAAGTTTCTGTTGCAAGCCCAGGAGAATTATTTATCTCATAAATGTTCCCGGTAATAAAAATGATGACAGCCAGCCAATAAATCTTAAGAACTGGAGAAATATGATAGATCCATGATCATACAGAACAAGAATAAGAATAAGATATAAAGCTTTCTGTGCACATGTGCACAATCTAGAAAGACCTTTTTAAGAGAGGGGGAAATGCTGAAAACATATATATGGATGGAACTTCATTCCCCATTAGCTATTGATGGTATTTCTAAGCCCAGCCTTCAAACCACTCAAGTAATTTTAAATTCTTTCAAGCCCCATCTTGGATCACAGTAAAATTTCTACTGAGTTGAAGTTTATAACAGATCTTGCCATTTATCTTTGCCTCCAGAAGGAAAGTCAAATTACTTAAAGGCATTTTTCTATGTTTTATAATGGGATTTAAAAATCTTGATTGACTGAAAAAAGGATGCAGGGTTGAAACTCTGGCAAAATGTGCTCAAGCATATCAAACCATCACTGGGTCAAAATACCAGGGAAGAATGTCTCCAAATTAAAAACCTTTCAACTGATACAAGATAAATAATTGCTCTAATTCTTCTGTTATAAATTAAGGTGTTTTTTTTAAAGCAAGCCTTTGTATTCTGCAGCATAATTTAATGCTATTTGGATTTTAAACATGTTTTAAAAAATGCATCTTTTATATTTGGACTTTTTAATTATTTACAGAGTTGCATTATTTTTATTGTTGTTGCTCCTGGTGTTATGCCCAAGCCCTTGCAGTCCTTAGCAGATGTATGGTATAAATCTAAAACAGCAAGCAAGAATATTCTGGAGTGGAAAGGCATAAATGTCTGAATTCGTTTCCATTAAATTATTTCAAATTTAAACTTAGATAAAAAACAACTGCCTGGTAGAAATTACCATTTTGTTCTCAATTATATGGAATTTAGACTATTGATGTCACTTACCTTGCTATGACATGTAATACATCATAATGTGATCCATAAATTTCCTAGAACCTTCTGCCCACAGTTTAAGACCTTAATTTCATCATTATTGCTCTTTTTCTATGAAATTATTCATATGGACGAAGTAAATAGATTCAATTTCATTTGTAAATGAAAGCTTTCCCACAGATTGGCAATAGCAAACACTTGAATCTGTGGCGAAAACATAAGCAGAGTTGTAGTGAAGGTACACTCTAGACCAGTGGTTCTCAACCTTTTTAATGCTGCAACCACCAACCGGTCGTAAGTCGAGGACTACTCAACTGGTGCAGCACCGTTTGCAGAATGGGACTTTTGGCGGGCTCAGCAGGGCAGAGACAGCCTGGACAATTCCTATTGGCTTTTGAAAGCCAATAGAATTAGACTCTATTCAAGAGTCTATTCTATTGGCTTTCAAAAGCCAATAGAATAAAAGGGAGTAGCACAGCTAAGGAAAAGGGGAAAAAAATGGCGGACTGCATTGTTTGGTGACTCCCATGAAATGGTCATTCGACCCCAAATGGGGTCCCGACCCACAGGTTGAGAACCACTGCTCTAGACCCAGATTATTCATTTAAAGTTCAACTTCAACATTTAATTGGGCTGTTTTACTTCAGATATTAAGCAAATTATTATTTCTATTTGTTTCAGGATGAATTGGAAAGGGGGGGGGCAGAAGTTTGATTATGCAACAAAATGGGAAGAAACCAATTTATCATATTTGTCACTTACTTGGGGATAATGAAGGCTGGGGGCTTGGCAGCTCATCCCACCCCCCTTTCCAGCAACTAAAATCAGCTTCAATAGTTGCTTACTGGTAGATAGTATTTTCTTTTTCCCTCCCTCACTTCTTTCAAAGTTGAGGTTCAGACTTACCATGTCCCCAAATTGGAGAAAGTTAATGTTAACACAAACCCCATCCTATTCTTTTCGACAGAATTAGCACAACCTTAACCATCCTATGGTATATCCACTTCACCCCCAGAAATAGCTCCAGTTGACGGAGATGGATCTGGAATGGCTAACATGGAAGAATAGCTAGCTCCAAATCTCAGTATTTTCTACTAGTAAACATCTCCTCCAGACTGTAAAAACTCTGGAAATTGGCTCAACACACTCTCCATCTATTTCAGTAGGACTCTTCTAAATTTAAATCTGGCTCCAGTTCTGTTTCTAGCAACCATAGATTTTTAAAATAGACATTTTTTTTTTAAAAAAAGCAGATTTTTATGTTTGTGCACTACACATGACTCCTTGCCACAGCACATTGTTGGGGAAAACAATCTTCTCATTAAAGGAAGGTATTTTTTCCCAGAGATCAGATCTTTGGGGAAAAGGCTGCATACTATGGGTAAAGACTTAATAGTGGTACTTGGCACTCAGCTACTTTAAAACTCATCAAATTTGGTACTTAACACATTTCAATGTGAAAAATGTGTCCCAGTACTCCATGCACAAATTAGAACTTGGAGTCAGCTGCCTTGTGATTAACTACATTTTTCCTTATGGGAAAAAATTGTTTGGTACTCGTTTTTGGTACTCATTGTGCCTCCCGGAACGAATTAACAATGAGTACTGAGGTACCACCAAATTCCTCAGCATCTCCAGATAGAGATGAAAGACTCTTCTCCAAATTCTGTAAAGTTACTGCTGAGCAGCTTTCCAGATTTGCCACCATCCAGATATCCGGGCTGCAATTCTTAAAGTCCCAACCCTTCCAGGAAGCATTATGCTGGGGAAGGTTGACCAAGCTTATAGAACGGAACAAAATGGACCCTTTGCCAGTCTGTACAGTCACTTCTATCCACGAGAAGCTACAATTTAAGAAAAGCCAAGCTTTCACAGTACAACATGTGACACCTCCACTGAGTGCGAAGTGGTACAGCCATGTCGTGGAACACATAAAGCACACGAAAAAAAGAGAGGAAAAACTCAAGATGAGACAGTAGACCCAGAAGCCAAACACGTGCTATGTAGGAAAAACAAAACGAAGAAACGATTATGGCCATAGAATCTCTTTATTCAAACAGAAACACATACATACATACACACGCACGCACATGGGGAAAAAGAAAACAAAATGGCATGACGCAGACAACGCGAAAGGCCACTTCTCTCCTTTGTGATTTTAAGAGCTTCAAGAAATATTGCCACTTATATTGAAGGATGAGAGAAGAGGGAGACAGGAGGGGTACGAATCTACTGACCATCTGCAAGTACAGAGGGCGGAAGGGGTGTGTGTGTTTCTTATACAAGGATATTTCTCAACGCAACTTCTCGTCCTACGCCAGATGTTCAGACACTGACCTCTGCATAACCACACTGACCTGGTTTTCAATCTTTGTCTTGCTTCCTTCCTCTCCTATCAAGAGAACAGGCTGACATTAAATCCCCCTCCATTTCTTGGTTGAGTTTTGCTGTGCTCTTGCCCAACTTGGTAGATAGGGGGCAAAGATGACAAAGTGATTGTGGTTGCTTGGTTGCTTTCAAAAGATTTATACAGAAAAGTCCAGATCAGAGGAGGGAGAAAAAAACCCATGTAATGGTGGGATTGGAGGTGGGTGGAATAATTCTGTTTTCTAGGAGTCACATGAGAGAATTATAATTGAGTGGGGTAAGGACTGTAAGTGGAGACCCTTGATCGTCAAAAAAACAAAAACAAAAACAAAAAAACCCGGTGGCATAACGAGGACACTTTGGAGCAAATCTTACAGGAAGGAGACCCTGCAATTCAGGTCTACAAGGGCAGTTTGAGTCTTACGTATTACAAATTGTAGACTTCTCAGAAGGAACTCAAGAAATGGCAGCAGAGTTTTTCAAGAGTCAAAAAACTGCACCCACATAACTCGGAACTTTCTCTTTTTTTTCTTAGTGGGGAAGGAAGACAAGGAAATTTAAATTACATTTTGGGAGTATGCTCTAGATATATAAAAAAACTCCTGTAATATGGATTCTGGTGGGGAGAGATGTTAGGCAATTGCTACAGTGTGGACACAGAGTAAGCCAACATTCAAAGATTAAGGCTTATCTTTTACAGCATGGCTGGTGATTTATCCACAACACTGACATGAGAGGAAAAAAAACTGTCAATAGGATAACAAAGCAGTAATACAGAATTCCCTGCTATGCCTCTTAAAAAATGAATGGCTTCTCCAAGGACAGCTTTGGCTTAGGCTAACCCCTAAGCTGTAGATTCCCCCACTTCTTAACAGTTTTGGCTTAGGCTAACACCTAAGCTATAGATTCCCCCACTTCTTAACAGCTTTGGCTTAGGCTAACCCCTAAGCTGCAGATTCCCCCACTTCCTAACTGAAAGGAAGTGATGATAGAATATAGCGGTTTCTAATTCTAGCAATGCAGCTGGTGCTTGGGCCCGTGAGAAAGATCTCTTTCACAGGTTATAAAATGGTGTTTAATCACCATAGGAAAAAATGGCTAGAAAGGGCAGAATCCAATGGGAAGAGAATGAGAAGAAACCTGACAACCAAGTGAGCGGTGACTGTGCACTGGGAGGGGATGGAAAAAGAAGAATCAAGATGAAAACTTGTAGAGGTGCGAATCCAGGATTCACACTGGTATATACCAAATTCTAATAAAGAGGTTTATAGTCTTACTGAACAAATTGGTGGAAGATTCCAAATTAACCATGGGCAGTTCTGGCGAGGTGTTGCTAATATGGTTTGGCCAACAAATCAGAAAAGCCTTTTCTGCTTTTTCATGTGGACTACCCAGTAAGTTCTCTTGAGGAAGTCATGGGGGGGGGGGAAACCAGTGGATCCAGCACTTGATAAAAATGCAAAACAGGGTTCTATCCCAGCAGGAAAAAGAGACTGTACATCTCACAAATTCCATCTCACGTGCTGCTGTCCTAACCTTTACAGTTAGCAAAGCCCATTACGCCTGTTTCAAGCAAGCCCATTTTAACCATCCTGTGTGATGCTTCTAGTAGTCACGCCTACCCCCCCCCCCATGGATCAAACATGTAGATGGAGGGAGGGAAGAAGTGTGCTTGCAAGTGGGACATTCCACGGTCATGAGAAAGGGAGTTGCTTGATGGGTTTGCTCCCTGCCCACCTGGCACTCCCCCCCCATCAGAAGACTTCTGATATGATTCAAGCATCAATTTTAATTGCATCAAAGACAGGTTTACTCAGTGCAGCACTGTGTATGAATGCATATTGAGGAAAGGGAATGCAGGGGGAGAGGCCTTGTGCCAAAGGTTGCTGCCCCTTGCCAGAGTAAGGGGGGGGGAGAAACACCGTTGCTGGGATTCCCAAACGATGTGCCAGAAGGGGGATGATGTTGCGACCCTCGTACACACATCCATTTCTCTCACAGGTGCTTGTTGGAACCAGACTCTTCAGTGATTGCTTGGGGGGGAGGGGAGATAGGGAGAGAGGGCTGGGCCCTTTCGTTGCCCCTTGCTGCTTTCTCTTCTGCCCCCCGCCTGCCCATAGGGGTGAAGGCACCGGAAGGACTGGGGGCAGTCCCTGGCAAAATAGACCGATCGAGCAAGCAGCCGTGGTTCTTTCCCAGTGACGAGACCCACTGAGTGCCTTTATCTGGGGAGGAACAGAAAGAGAGAACGGTTAGCTTTTTTGCCTCTTGTTTCATAGAATGTCATGCAGGTGTCCAGCAAACAAAACATTTTGCATCTGAATGTCAACTTGCATTCTCCAAAATAATTCTTCTAGCTCTAGTAACTTCAGCATCTTTTTGTAAAGCAAGCAGCCCCCGGGTGCAGACAAGATGAGTGAACTAAGAGGACTGCCAATCAACACAAAAGATGGCCAATATCATGCAAGGTTGGAAAATAGAATCAAATGGCATGTAGAGCATTTTGCTTCAATTATTAGAAAGTAAGATAAAGAATTATATAGGGCAATGGAAATCCCATCCTGATTTATGGAGTCTTCATGGAGTTTTCCTCTTTAACTTCAAAGACTCTACTAAGTATGCCAACCTATGTAATTCCCAATTGTTCTTTATAACCTTTAATGGCTACGTTTTCTTTCCTTTTAAAGTCAAGTTAACGAAGTACTAAGAAAGACACTTAAACTGGCAGTAGTTTCTCTCTCTAACAACATGGAAGCTGTAAAATACTGCATAGGTAATCCTCAATTAGACCATTCATGTAGCAACTGTTTGAAGTTATGATAGTGCCAAAAAAGTGACTTACAATGACTGTCAGGGTCATGTGATCACCATTTGTAATCTTTCCAGCTAGCTTCTGACAAGCAAAGTCAATGGGGGAAGCCAGATTCACTTAACAACTGGGGCAAAAAAGGTTATAAAATTGGGTACTCTCATGTAACAATAGCAGCTATTTTATAACTAAGCAATGGTGCTTAGTGACATAGGTTCTCATTCCAACTGTGGCCGTAAGTTGAGGACTACACAACTATATGCAGTTGTGGAGGCAGATCATAAAAGAACTATAATGATCAGGAAGGGAATATGTCTCTAACAGATTAAAAAATATTAATTTTGTTAATTATTATTTTAAGAAAAATATAAATGTGAAGAGAACCATAACATTTTGGTCATGAAGAGATTCAAAGCTTTGGAAGCATCATCCAATGAAATAATTTGCAGTGGGATTTTAAAAGACAGAAAGAAAAACATTTGATTGTTACCACAGGTAGTTTTTAATAGGAAAATGGAAATTACTAGTTTTACTGCTAGTAAAACACTGCTAGGAAAGAAATGGCGCTAAAAATTGCCTGTCTCAATTATATAAAAATGTGTTTATTCTCCTCAGAGACAACTTTTTATGACTAAATTATTTTCTGACCAAATGGCAATGACACAATCTCCAGAAGAAGAAAAAAAAGTTGGGAATGTCACTATGAGATGATCTAGACACAATCTTTTCAGGCTAACAGTAAGGACTCTTGTTATATATTGATCATTTCCCCCCCCCCCCAGTGTCAATATTTGCATGCTTATGTTGGTACTAAATAATACTTTTGTATGCATTCCTTTATAATACTATTGCTTTATGTTTGTCAAAACAAAAACCATCAGTTGCAGTTGTGTCCAATGGATTAACTTTATTTTTAAAAAAGGTTCTACTGCTGAGAAAATCCTATTTTCATCATTCTGCGGAACTGTCAGGTTTGAGACTCTGGCTCCACTTATGTAAGTGATTCTGCAACTCATTGCGACATAATTAGACACTGCTCTCTCTAATCCTCCTAGTTTTGCATTTCCCAATGTGATTGCAGTGCCTCTGCAAGTGACTGGGAATATGATACTAAGAGCTTTGTATTTTTCAATTTCTTTCTCCATTTGCTGATCTGAGATGCAATGTGCAATGAATATTTCACGCAGAAAACTCTGTTCAGATGTCCCAGAATTTGTTGATTATAGGACATGTGAAAAGACTGCTTTTCTCATCGCTTGCCATCTGCTGCAGAACCGGCACCCAAATAGGCAGAATTTCTAGTTCAGAATAATTATTGTGGCAGTTTTTTTAAGCTTCAAAAGCAGAAGAAGAAAATAAAAATAGTAGGATTAGGGGAAAGAGACAGGAAAGAGTGTGTCCACACTACAGTATTCTGTGATTGAAGACGTCCAGAAAACCTTGCCTGATAGCCTGTTTCCAACTACATCTAACTTCCACCCTTGCTGCTTTCTAATGAATAATCTGAGATTGCCTTCTTGCAACTATCAAATCCTTCTTCTGTGACTTACTAATCCCAACACCCCCCTACAATATTTTACCTGGCTGCCGATGGCTGCGGTTGTTCTATCTGTGGGTTGCTGTGCTCAGATTGTGGCGTCTCTATTGTCCCCTGAAGTGGCTGGGTCTGGCTGGAATCAGAGGTAGATGGGGGAGGTTCTTTTGTGCTGTCGAAGAAGGCGGGGGAAGGCAGGGAAAGAAAGATTTATCTTAGCACGGTGATGTGGATTGCTTTCATATTCATAGTTCCAAACCACGATTATACAGTACAGTTTATATTTATCCAAACAGCGATTAAACAATAGAGAAGATCATGGATCTGCAGAAGGCAACCTAAAGAGAAGAAGTGACCATTTTTTTAAATTTTAGTTTTAATGGCTACAATTTCACATTTTAGATTTTTATTTTTCACATCAGTCGCTCTCAAGCTGCCTATTCCCCAGTTCTTTATTTTGCCACGGTCATTGGTTCTGCTTTTCAGAGCAGTTTTCAGTCTTCCGTTTCTTCCTCTTTTTTCATCAGCAGGATTTCCTGCTGATTCCAAGTATTCATCAAGTCTGACTCTGCTTAGATTTTTGAGTTCAGCTAAGGTTAGTCAGGTGCTGCCCTCTAGTTGGGCCCTCTTCTTGTATACCTGGCCATATCAGGAGGAGTTTTCATTATCGCCAGTGCATACTTGCAGATCAGATATTCATCTTTTAACAATCCCTCAGAAGAACACACAGTCACAGATCACATTTCAGAATTTTACCTGGCTACTGTTGTCACGATAGAAGAGTTCGGTAGGTTCCCCTCTTCTGGAGGGCCTGGGTCTGGGGTGGGAGAATCCTGTGGAACACTAGAGACTGCTATAAAAGAGGGGTGGGTGGGAGACCAACCAATCAGATCTAGATATGGGGTGGGAAATACATGTTCTGTACAGAGGAAAATGAGTTCTAGAGGGAAAGCTAAAACTTACCCAGCTACCATCTACCCAAACCTTCATTTCCACAGTGTTATTATTTCCGAGGCTTTAAGGACACAGTAACTGTCTGCCCAACCCCCACTTGCTTCCTCTCCTATTAATATAGTTAGTCCAGGGAAGGGGAGCCAGTGGCTCTTCAAAAGTTATTGGGTTCCAATTACTGTCAGCTATAAAGATAGTGGATGCTGGATAGCAGTCCAGCATGGGGCATCCAGAACATCCAACATGGGGGGAACCAAGGATGATCTAAATTTGCAGTAATCACAGGTGGATGGACTGTAGATTGAATATTCAAGGAAGCTTTTAAGAACACAAGGCAGGAGACTCCTCCCGGCCATGCTTGTGAATGGAAGTGACCATTCAAGATGCAGGAGAAGAGGTAAGTGGGAGAGGTGAGAGAGGCAGGTAATACAGGCTTTATGTAAAGGATCAGTATGATGGACTTGAATAAAATAGGTGAACTTCCTATCCAGATACAGAACCAACTGTATTCCACAGGATAGGCATGTTATTCTTATAGCTTAACTAGCTGTTGCCCACAGACTCCCAAAGGCTCCATGGCCCCCAGATTAACCACCTCAAAAATCAAAGTTCTCAGGTGGTCCTAGGAGTTTCTACAAAATGGATCTACTACTCTCGAACACTGTTCCTTTATTACTGTATAGATTTTATTTATATTCTTCTTCTTCTTCATCATCATCATAAAGTTGGAAGGGACCTTGGAGTTCATCTAGTCCAACCCCCTGCTCAGGCAGGAAACCCTATACCATTTTGGACAAATGGCTGTCCAGTCTCTTCTTAAAAACTTCCAGTAAGGAAGTTTCTCCTTAGTTCTAGGTTGCTTCTCTCCTCGATTAGTTTCCATCTGTTGCTTCTTGTCCTGCCTTCAGGTACTTTGGAGAATAGCTTGACAACCTTTTCTTTGTGGCAGCCCCTGAGATATTGGAACACTGCTATCATGTCCCCCCTCGTCCTTCTCTTCATTAAACTAGACATACCCAATGCTAGCAACTGTTCCTTATATGCTTTAGCCTCCAGTCCCCTAATCATCTTTGTTGCTCTTCTCTGTACTCTCAACATCTTTTTACTCCTGGTGACCAAAACTGGATGCAGTAGTCCAAGTGTGGCCTTACCAAGGCATTGTAAAGTGGTATTAATACTTCATGTGATCTTGATTCTATCCTCTGTTAATGCATCCCAGCACTGTGTTGGTTTTCTTGGCAGCTGCAGCACACTGCTGGCTCATATTTAAGTGATTGTCCATTAGGACTCCGAGGTCCCTCTCACAATTGCTACTATTGAGCAAAATACCCCCCATACTATACCTGTACATTTGGTTTTTCTTGCCTAAATGTAGAACCTTACTTTTTTCACCATTGAATTTCATTTTGTTAGATAGCGCCCAGTGTTCAAGTCTGTCCAGATCCTCCTGTATCTTAAGCTTGTCTTCTGGAGTGTTGGCTATTCCTGCCAGCTTGGTGTCATCTGCAAATTTGATGAGTGGCATGTTGCTACTCCTTTATAGTATTTGTGGAGACCACTTGCAGAGGGGACAGACATCTGGCAGATTTGAATATAAATAAATATGTGGGTCTGTATGTGTGCAGGAGTGAAAAGGAAAGAAGTGGTGGACCACAAAGTCCAGAAAAAGCAGAGATGGTCTCAGGGAAGACAAGACTATTGGCATGGGCAAGATGGCCTTCTTGTGGTAGCTTCTGGAATGAAAGGATGAACAAGGCAAAGAGGAAAGCGAAAGAAACAGTCCCCATGTTTTTGGGTCAGAGCCTTGAGGTGTGTGGGGGGGGGGGAAGCTCCTTCTGACAGGCTGCTACATAGCAACTGTTCTGGATGCCATACTCCTCTGTTCCATTGCCAGGAAGCAAGGATTCTACTCAGCACTGGGGAGTATCAGCCAGGAGGTTCACCACCATTATGGTTGATAGGAAATTATAGGAGACATTTTATATTAAGACATCGCCTCTGGGCTACCATACCTAGGACTTAGCAAATCTGATTCAGTTTCTATTATATGTGTATTATACTAATTACTGCATTAACTTGCAGAAATTACATGTGCTATTTCCTAAGAGCACACAAAGAATTATGCTGAATGAGAGTATTTAATCCAGGATTCAGTTTTCACAGCCCTCAATGGAAGCCCACAAGTAAGCCATAGACCAGAAAAATCAACTCTAGGAAAGCTAAAGCTACTTTTAATTGGGATCAATTATAACAACAAAATCTTGTGAGTCTGATTGTGCTGTACATCCCCCCTCTTTGTTGTATGTCAGTGAAATAGGGAGGCATCTACCTGAGCCACTTCTGATTGTTAACTTGCTGTTCTAGACTTAAAAATTGTTTCAGTCTAGATAATAGTTCCTGAATATTTCTGACAAAGTCATTTTCCTTATTCTCTACACATTTAAGATATAAGATAAGATAACCTTTATGGTCATTTTTTACTGTGAACACACTGGCCCACATTAAAAATTCTGTTGTATATACTACCCATACACATACATAACACATATATACACATGCTACATATCTATATCACTATCTAGTTTGAACACATAGTGGAAATTTTTATCTTTCATCACAACTAATATGCTGGAGGTAATATTATGATTAGGAACTGTTAGGAACTTTATACAAAGTAGCAGTCTAAATTGCCAAGTAAGACTACATTTGTGATAGCAAATTCCATAGTGTCATTATGCTGCATGTGAAGACAATAATAATATTTCTTAATATTTGCTCAGATCTTCCCAACGTTCAGCTCTGTTGGATTATCCCATAATTTTAGTATTATGGAAAATGATATCAATTTTCTCAATACACCTTTAGAATGCCCTCCCTGGAGACATTTTTTCATAAACTAAAAGTCTCCAAACTAAAATCTTCCTGAGTATTTCTCTATTTTTGTTTGTGTGTGTGTTTTCCAGTTCTGTTGACAGAAGGATAAACAAACCCCTATAAACTGCTGATTTGTAGAAAAGTAATATGATAGGTTGAGTGAATGTCACTGCTTTCTTTGTTCAGATTCTTATTTTCCTGAGACTGTTAGCTTTGACCACTTCAACACCAGCCTTTATATTTATTTATCCCTCTGGTTGAAAATTCATATGCACTCATTTTTGTCCTGCTACTTTTCCCTAGGGTTTTCTTTGACATAATTTTGTATGAATAAATCACATTGATTTCTGGACACAATAAAACCATTTCTGAAGAATCAGTGATGCTCACCTTCTACTTGGGACCCATTATTTTGTGCCACTTCCTGAGAGAGGATGGCTGGCTCTGGGAGCACTTTAGAACTAGCAAAACAAAATAATAATTGACAAAATTACCATCAGTCAATTGCAAAATGTTTTCCTTGGAACAGCTTATATCCTAAGATGATGCCTTTAATATTATTAACCACAACATCTGCCTATCCATTGTCCTTGAGAAGGACTTGATAAGTGGATATAAAAATGCCAGATCTAAATATCTAGCTGGCTTTGCGACCAAACAAGAAAAAAGTCCCAAAATTCTCTCTTTTGCTGCTTTAAAATGACTGTGTAGGCTCTAGTGTGAGCCATTGAATTTGTTTGTTTCTCCTCCAAGCTCCTCTTCTCATCACTTCCAATTCTGTTTGCCTGAAACCCACTGGTAGAAATGAGCAAACTCTGATCAATGACATTCAGCTTCCAGCACACTTCTTGATTCTATCATCAAAATTTGATGGCAAAATGATGTTGCCCAGCAGTGCAACTATAGTGTGTGTGTGTGTGTGTGTGTGTGTTTGTGTGTGTAGGGGGATAAGAAACAGGATAATTAAGCCCCTGTAAGATTTATCCATTTTACCCCTTAATATCCATTATGCTTCCAACACATCGACACAAAAGGGCCTGAAAGCCCCAGTCCCTGAAAGACACGATCCTAAAAGTCTAATTGATGTTCTCTTCAGCCCCCCCCCCCCAATGACTAAACATTTAAGTATTCCAAAGCCTCACCTCTCTTGTTGTACAGCAGGTTCTGGAAAGGAGGCCCAATTCTCATCTTTGCCAGAGCAGGAGGCACCTGAGTTAGGTTGGTCCCACACTGCTGCTCCTGTATCAGCTGCCACCAGTTGTGAGGATTTCGTAGACTTTGCGGACGGATCAGACCTGTCTGCCCAGCTAGGATCTAGAGAAGACCATATTTGCACAGGAGATATTTATCTGGTGCTAAAACTTACTACAATAAATAACTAGCACTATTGTTCCTGTAACTGTTATAATAGTCTTCCCCCAATCTATTGCTCACTAGATGTGCTGGGATGATAGATCTCAATATTCTGAAGTTACCATGATTATTGGACGAATATGTTGGGACTTGAAGTCTTAACACACCAGGAGAGCAGATGGTTGGGGAAAGCTGGGTGCAGTCCTAACATAATTGCCGATTTCTCTTTGGCATAAGGAAAATTAAGGTTTCCTCAATTGATTAAATGTAAGTCAAAGTATATTGATACAGATTAGGATGAAAGCCCAAATCAAACCAAGTTTGCTCTAAAATCCAATTTTGTCTTGATCCTTTAATTATGAATTTCTGTGCTGACAGCAAAAACAGAAGGTGTATTTGAAAGAAGAGTTTCAAGACACATAATTTTGTGCAAATAAGTTAATAAACTGGGCTATTTGGCAAGATCTTGGTATAATCAAATCTTGGTGCAATGTGGGAAAAGAGGCATTTTTTTATTCAGCATTCCCTTACATTGTTATTCTTTCTTCAATTATACTAATAATGTCCAGAGATTGAGAAAAAGATGTTCAGATCTAATCCAGATCAGCTTTTCCCAAGAAAAGAGCCAATTATTTTTATGCCAAAAGACTTTTACTTTCAAGAAAATTATTTCCTAGCCATGAAATAAATAAAGGTGAAAAAATGTGGTACTCCTGTTGTTGCTAAATATCAATTCCCAGCAACCCTGGGAAATAGGACCAAATGTGAGGAGGATGGGAGCTTATGTTCAACAATATCTTCAGGGGGAAAATTTCATAAATGGGGTGATTTGACAATATACTATGGCGAAAGCCTCACTTTGGTAGTTTTTCAAGGAATGTTATAATTTTTCCTTTATTTCGCCATAATGTCACTTCTCCTCCAATACTAGTGTTATTAGATCCAACTGTCCCTCTTCTTTTCATTTGTAATATACTCATCATCATGCTCTCATCTGTAATGAACATTGCATAAGAAGCAGGTGGCTATAACTGGTAAACTTAAGACGTTTCTCTCCCAAGAATTTTAAACCAGAATTAAGCTACATTCCTGAGGAAACAGCAGATTAAAAGAGAGAGGGTGACAGTCCTAAGGATTCAACTAGAGCACTGCAAATCAGCAGAGTTGTGTGGAAGAACATGTGAGAATGAAGCTCTCTGCCACTGTCAAGTATATGTCTTATGACTTAAATAACAGAATCTTCAGCCAAAGAAAGTCAGATATACCGACAAGAAGAATCACTGAAATTGTAAGAACCAAATAGCTAGTTTGGCTAGGATAATACTCCTTGAAAATAACATAAAATTGTAACTCTCAGCAAAAATGAACAACTATTAAAAGAAAATCAAACCTGGGTATTTTCTATAAAATTATCTGGCAAAAAATATTTCAAAAACTAGATTTATTTATTAAATTTCTATGCCACTCGTCTTTCCTATAAGGTGAGTCTTACCCAAGTTGAAACACTGTTTATTAATGATGAGCATGTTACTTTATCGAATGTAGAGTAACGCTTATTTCAGAATTCACTTTTAAAGGGGATAAAGGCTATTTCATTCTTGTTCCTACCATGGACTGCTCCCATTTAGATCTTTTCCTCCATTCCATTAGATCTCATTACCAAAATAAGCAGAACAATTTCAAATCAGGAAAATAATTGCTGGTGGCAGCAACATCAGGAACAATCTCACCTCACTTCCTAAAGGAATTTATTTCCCATTATTAAAGGATGCCCAAACAAGCAGACAGCAGCTTGGCTCTATTCCACCACTTATCCACCAACAACCCAATCTCTGAGTTCTGACCTCCTAATGTACTTTCCGCTTCTGTTTGTTCACCACAGCCATTGCTGACAGGGACGGCCTCTCCATCTCCCCCACCAGGATCTTCTTCCTCACCCCCTTCACCTTCTGAGTCTTCACTATCTTCACTATCTGTGCTACCAAGTCTTCTGCAAAAGGGAGAGAAAATGGAATAAAGTAGAGTTATTATACACTTGCCTACAACCAGTTCTATTCCACTGGACTCCTTTTTCTGCAGCTGTACATCACAATATGTGTTTAGTGTGGTGTTGGTTTAATACATGTGGGCTAGTCTGCTAAGGCTTGCTCAGCCAATCATGACTTAATTCCATGTATAAATATAGCCATAGAATCAAACTACTGATCCACCCAACCGTAATGTACCAATTTCCTCCTCTAGATTCCACTAAAAGAGGCTTTAGGCAATTAGAATTGCTGAACTTTATAAGCAATTCAGGCCTGCCAGTCTGATAGCATCATTACATTATCAATCCCAGCCTTATGACCCTTGGAGCCCAAATTGATTCTGAAAATGAAAATGCACTCCCTAGACATAAACATAAAATATATTTATTTATTAAACAAATTTGTATGGTTACCCAAAGTCACTGAAGCAGGTAACTTCAGGCTGCTTACAACATTAAAAATAAAATAAAAACTCAAAAACCCTCCCATCCCCACTCCCATGGTGGCAGCAGCAAGTTGCATGTCTCCCTGCTACAGCTAACAAAGAAGAAAGGATCTAACACAAAGATACCGCGTTTCCCCCAAAATAAGTTCTAACTGGAAAATAAGCCCTAGCATGATTTTTCAGGATGCTCTTAATAAAAGCCCTACCCCCAAAATAAGCTCCAGTTAAGATCATCAGCTAGACGGATGCATTTAGTATCGTATTTTCCCCAAAATAAAACCTAACAGGAAAATAAGCCCTAGTGCAAAAATGAATATAAGACCTAGTTTTATTTGGGGGAAAACATGGGTATAACTGTTTCAGACTATCTCAAAAGGTCTAAAGCAGGGGTCTTCAAATTTGGCCCTTTTATGACTCATGAACTTCAACTCCCAGAATTCCTCAGCCAGGCATGCTGGCTGAGGAATTCTGGGAGTTGAAGTCCATGAGTCATTAAAGGGCCGAGTTTGAAGATCCCTTGACAAAATTCAAGAAAACAGCAGCAACATGAAATTCTGGAGCCAAGCATCACAAAATTGTTGAGGGACAGCAAAAAGTGGCCCCAAAAGATTAATGCATGCAACAATAGTGCCAAGAGAGGAAATATTATCCAATGTAGGCAAAAGCTTAAAAAAGAGTTTAAAAATTAAATGATCTTTCTTCAGTGACACAAATTGCACTTGAAAATAGGAAGCAACAAGTACTATTTATCAGATTAGACATACTTGAGAAGGGGAAAAAAGGGCTTCCAAAACTGAACATCTATTTTTGCTTTTGTTTTTTGAGTGGGGAGGAAGGGAGGAATGATATGCAGTTGGGAGTAATAAGAGCTAGAAGTCTGGACCTTGAACAGAGAAGCTGATACTGCACACACTGAATCATCTTCAGCTTCAGCTTCAATTTCATGGCTACTAAGAATTGTCTTATGTATAATTAAGCACTTTAAGCTATGCTAAACACTATTCATGCCATCCACTCTAGCTTTATTCGCTCACTCCCATTTTGCAGAAGTGGGCAGCTGACAAAGCTCCATCATGCAAGAATGTGTGACAGGACCCGAGAAGTTCTCTTCGGGCTTGGTCTAAATATGACCCAAAGTTTATTGGTAAACATGATAAAGGAAGTTTTCCCTCAGCTTCATTAATAAGGGGGACAGGGAGACAGAATGGGAAGAACATCCCTGTAAAATGGAAACCTCTTGTGGAAAACCTTCAAGGATTCTGGGAAGGAGGTTGCCTGCATGTGCCTTCAACACCCCCAGCAAGAAAAAACATCTTCCCAGCAAGTCTAAAATTTCTTATCTTAGCACACTATTTTGATCCAGTTTGCATCTGTTTGGTTTCATTTTGCATAATTTCTCACCCAGTCTAGTCAAAAGTTGATGATGACAGGACTGATCTAAAGAGGCAGAACATATTCATATGGATGCGACATATTTTCATGTTTGGTGGAACTGTGAAAAGGTAAAGGCTTTTTGGATTATGATTTGGTGGAACATTCAAAAGATTTTTAAAAGGAAGATAAAGTTCACCCCTCAATTATTCCTATTGGGTATCTTTGTGGATTTAACTACTTTAATGTTGAATTTATTAACTGCAGCAAGGTTATTAGTAGGCTCCTATTGGAAGAAGGACTCGTTGCCTACTTTAGAAGAATGTATATTTAAAGTTTCTAACTTTGCAGAAATGGCAAAAAAATCTGCTTATTTGAAGGATCATACACAAGAAAGATATATTATTGTATGGAGAAGATGGATAGATTATATTCAGAAAAAATATGGGACTATAAAGTTTCATTTATTTTATGAGTAAATTTTATAGTAACTGTTGTAGAGATTTGTTTATATGACTTAATTTAAGGGGAGTTAAAGGTTAAGTATGATGTTTTTTTTTGTTTTTTTTTTCTTCTTTTCTTTTTTTTATTATTGTTAACTTTCTTATTAATAACCCTGTACTCTGCTCTGGGAAGCAAGGGGGGGGAGGGTTGAGGGTGGGTGGGTGGGTGGGTGAGGGGGTGGGTAATGATAATATAGTCATGGTAAACGCTTGGGCATTTCCCCTATGCTGCGTTCATGTGTGTGAGAGGGATGAGAGGGGAGGAAGGAGAAGGGAGGAAGTAGGATGGTTAAAAAATAAAGAGGCAGAACATATTCATAAAATGAGGTGTGGGCATGCAAAGGCAATGGAACAACAGGGCAGAAACCCTCAAGGCATATGTACTTCATGCAGGAGAAGCATGAGCTAGCTTAAGAGGCAAACAAGGAAGAAGATTTAACCCTAATAAACCAAGCATAATTGTAACTCTCTGGAAATAAAAGCATGAATTATTTAAATAGACAACGATATGCATTTAAGAAAAGAAAAAGAGGGGGAGGGAATACAAGCAAGAGAAATCAATCGTTGGCCCAAAGGGTGGTGATGGAATCCTCCAGAAGCTAATACAATGGATTCTTCCCTACCTAACCGTCATAGACTGTGCAGTACCCGAAGTGATAGTCCTCTCCTTCTCCTGCCAGATGTCCTCCCCATCAGAGCCATCGGCCTCTTCATCATCATCAAATTGCTGAATTCGCTCCTTGTAGCAGATGTCGAAAAGGTTGGCGTTGGGCTGCAGGAAAGTGGAGAACAGAGACAGATTAGAGCACTGGAAATAGATATAGTTGTTGTCTTTGTTGTCATTACAAGTTGCCCTTTAATGACTGCCTATAATAATAATAAAGTTGGAAGGGACATTGGAGGTCATCTAGTCCAATCCCCTGCTCAGGCAGGAAAACCTATACCATTTCAGACAAATGGCTGTCCAGTCTCTTCTTAAAAACTTCCAGTGTGGGAGCATTTACTGCTTCTGGAGGCAGGTTGTTCCACTGGTTAATTGATCTAACTGTCAGGAAGTTTCTCCTCAGTTCTAGGTGGCTTCTCTCTTTGGTTAGATTCAGATTTTGGCTTCTCTATGTACCTGCCGAAGCTATGTTGCAAATTAAAGAGTCTTTAAGGTAAAACAATGCCTCAAAATTCTTTGAAGAGCTTCTTCTTTCGGAACCTTGACGTCAAAGCCAAAATCTGAATTCTCCTCCCCCAACACACAGAATCAAAGCATAACTCATTCCTTCATTTAACAGTCATTAATCACATTCTCCAATTAGTTTGAAGTGTGAACTTTCCCTCCCTTTATCTCCTCCTATTACAACTAACCTTGAAGAATACCCTACTGAGATATTGTTATGGCTAACTAATCCCCAGCACATTCTTCCCTCTACCCTCCAGCACCATCTCTTTTAACTCTAAAAGTAATACACAGGTTAAATAGGAAATGTCTGCATCTTTATATATTGTCAAGCAAGAACATCTGATGTTAGCAGCATTGACACTGAGCTCATAACCTCACACAGTGACTGAATCCTGGACTAGCAGTGGGAGGAACAAGACAGCAAAGGTCACCTGAGAATGGCAGGCGTAGGACATGTGGAGGAGTGTAAGGGGGCCAAAAGGACAGAGATAAGGGGGAGACAGGCAGGTGAGGGGAGTTCAACAGGAGGTGAGTGCAGCTGGGTAGTGCAATCTCACCTGCCAAAAGGGAGCTACCAGAACCAGCTGGGGAGCAGACTCAGCAAATTTGTGCAGGTAGGACAACTGTGAGGTCTTTGCCTAATGGCTGCAATTGGGACTATTATTGCTGAGCAGCAAAGTCACGTAATATTTCACCTAATAACTGCTTCCGTTTAGCAATGGAAATCCTCGTTAAGGGAGGACAATCGGTACACAAGTGGCAAACATGTCTAATATTCATTCTTCCTGTTTTCTCCCTCAACAGCAACCCTTTGAGATGGGTCAAGGAATGACACTTACACTGTCATCATCTGCATTCAGTGAGAAGGTGATGTTGGCCGTTTTGTCAAAAGGAGCACTGAAATTAAAAAAAAAAAAAAGGAAACTATGGTGAAGATCAGAAATCAGGATTGCATTCTTAGATGGGAACAATACAAGCCTAGTTTGGGGAAAAAACAATAAAAGAAGGAAGCCTGTGCTGTGCTGTGCTGAAATGGGAATTTATCCCCCTTCTTTTTCCTAAACTCTTCTAATAAAATTCCCATTTCCAAAGTACTTTAGGAAGAGTTGAAAACATTCTACATGAATCAGTAGTTATCTCTTAATGCAGACAGGAGTCAGGGTATCTACCTGTCCAAGGTTACTAAAACAATTAAGTTAATAGAGAAAGGATAGTTTTTAGTTTACTTTATGATTTCATCTTAGTTACATTACTGAATCCGCTATCTAATAAATATAATACTACTCCCAATATCATAATTCAACAGACACTATCTCCCTCCTATGCAGGGTTCTTAGTTCTTATATACTTCACTGTCACCTTTTTTTCAAAAAAACCCTCTTTCTTGTTAATATAATATCTGTCTTCCTGCAACAAATTTAAACTGGCAGTCCCTTTTCTATACGGGCCACACATTTACAGGTGTGTTTTTAATTTTTTGTTTTCTATATGGAACTTTCAATGCTACACAATGTATTTCAAACTCTTATTTACCAAACTGCCTTGCACTAGCTCAAGTTTTATTCTTTATTTTAGATGTATATACATTAAAAAGAGTTGTATTAGCTTTATTTTAGAACTGTGCATTGATTTGTGAAAGATATTGCTTATATTAAGAAATATTTTAATAAAATAAAGATGAAGTCTCTTTTGTGTTGAGATATGGATATAATTTACCATTACATTCTTCTGGAAACTCTTTTTTACTTTGCAACCTAGTCTAAATTCTGGAATTTCCTCATGGTCTCTAATTTAACCAGGTCTGACCCTGCTTAGCTTATTGAGAGAAGCCAAGGTTAGCCTCGTGTGGCAACCTGCCATCAAAAGGGAAGTTGTTCAATAGATGTCACAGAATGGATTCATATCCAAGCCCAAAGAAAGTGGATGCAGAGCCCAAACCATGTTCTGTATTGTCTGACAAGCATTTGAACCAGTTTTCCAAGTCACCCACCAACCATTGCTATAGTGTCAGATCAGTTTCAATTAATTTTATTTCTCAAGAAACATATAGCAAAGCCCCATTTTAAGATAATGCAAAAACTGGGCTCAGAAGGGACCTATGTAAAATACTTCTGAGCTTTCATCTACTCATGTTTCCCTAGATGAAATCTTTGTATTTATTTGAAGTAGTGCACGTATGGAGAGATGGAAAGGAGATATGTATGCTGTTGGCCTCATCTTTGTATTTAAAAAAAGAAGAGCAGCGCATTAGCATTTACCTTTTCAATCGTTGGAAGTGAGCGCTGCAGGCCACATAGGCAGAAAAAAGAGAAAGAAAAAGGAGAGAAAGAAAGAGAGGCAGAAACATGAGGTCAGGAGACTTGGAGAAAGGAAAAAAAAACCTGCCTGGGGATGGAATGAGGTGCCTGCCAATAAGGTCTCCAGCTCCCCCTCTTTCAATAATTAGGTCACCCAGGTCAAACATCATGCTGGAACTGCCACAATAAACCAGACTGGCAAAATAGGAATGACTGGACAGTCTTGACTAAGAACATCAAATCTTTAGTTGCTAACATGACTTGAAAAATTAAGACACCCTCCCCCTTTTCAGGCAAGGCTCTGTCATTTGGCAAGCTGAGCAAAGCAAGCTAGAAGCCAGAGCCTCTGGGATGGGAGCTTTAATTAAATAAAATCCAATTTCCAAGTATCAAATCATGCTGGCTTCCAAAATTTTAAAGGAAACCTCTCTGCTTGTGGACTTTCTCAAAGCAATTATCCACAGGTTGATGGACTAGGAGAGTCTTTGATCTGATCAAATAAAGCTCATTTTATGTTCTTATGAAAGATAAATAAAACATATTCCCTCTTTCGGAGAGGTCAAGAAACACAAAGATTTCATGAAATGGAGTCCTGGCTGTGCAAAGATAAAGAAAGAAGCATCACCACTCATACAATCCTCTCACATTCTCAAAAGAAGCCAAGCAAATACTAGCTCATGGGTCTCAAAGAGATGGAATGAACACCTAGCCAGCCTTCCTCAGATAAAGTTTTCCCAGGTATTTTTTTATCTGACTGCTATCATCCTTAGGGCGGCACGGTGGCTCAGCAGTTAGGGTTCTGGGCTTGCTGATTAAAAAGTCGGCAGCCCAGGTTTGAGACCCAAGAGCCATGTGACAGGTTGAGCTCCTGTCCTCACCTCAGCTTCTGCCAACCTACTAGTTAGAAAGCATGCAAATGTGATAAATAGGTACCACTTCGGAAGGAAGGTAACAACATTCTGTGACATCATGCTGGCCACATGAATGAGGAAATGTCTTCAGATAGTGCTGGCTCAATGGCCTTGAAATGGAGATGAGCCGGAGACTAGCAGAGTAAAAACTAGTGTAGTGTAGGAACTCCTTTACCTTTTTTTTAAGCATCCTTAACTAAAATGAAATTATAGGCTCTATGGTCCCTAGTGTGCCAGTTGGGATACAGGTCCCAAAAAAGGCATCTTCTTTGACATAAAACAAGCTCTTTGCTCTGTCAGACTTTTAAAAGGAATTTTAAAGAATTCATCTAATGAAAAAAATGTTGCAAAGCAAAGTGCCAGTTGTGAGTATTCACTATCTCCACGAATGCCTCTGGGTCACAAATAGATTCCATGACTTAAATCCATATTTTGTAAGTAATTATGCCCCCCAGTAACTATTTTGGGAATGGGATAACAAGTTGCATTCTTGTAGTGTCTGTAACACTTTCTTAAAATCGAATTCACGTCCAAAAAGGCTGGAGATCCAGTTATAGCTCAAAATCTAAGGATGATCCAGTTGAGGATTGCTGATCTAACATCTCCAATGGGTTATTTTACTGGGACTAATAACCAAATCTGCAAGATGCAAGACTATGCATCTCTGTAATTCTATGACAAACTGCCAGGCACAAGCACATGCAAATCAAATGCTCCTGAAATGTGTTCAGTGAATAATCTAATTCTCATTAATGAATTTACAACTGAATTATAGGAAATTATAATCAGCAGAGATTAAGGCCAGTGAAAGGCAGATGTCCCTTTACATACACAGACCAAAGGAACATAATTTAGTATGTGAGGCTTTAGAAACCCTTAGTCTTGCTTCTGGATCCTGCTTAAAAACATGCTTCCTTTCCAGAGCAGACAAAAATCAGCTGTGCCATGCTATTGTCCTCACATGAGGCAAGGCAATTCTCAGCCACCAAAGAGCACATTAAAAGAGGCCTAGAAACAGGACATGGAGAAAGGCAAGGGGGAATGTGAACACATCACTAACTTGACATTCTCTTCTTGCTCGCCAAATTCTTCGTCGTGAAAACCAAAGTGGTCAATAAATGAAGTCATCTGTTGCATTTGATAACCTACGAAAGCCTATGAAAAAAAGTAATAATTGGAAATAAGCATGAATGATAAATACCTCAAAAGGGAACGGTGGAGTGAGAATTTTATTTATTGACTAAATTTATATAGCCAGTTGCAAATCAAAACAGATGATTATTAGATCTGATGCATCTAAGAACGTATGGAAATTCTTTTGTCTGAATAAATCTATGTGCTTTCCAATAGATCCTAACAGATAACATCTGGCTTGGATTCATCCCAAGTAGCATCAATCCGATTCTGAGCACAAGATGTAAAAGTTAGTAAGATAATAAAAATGAAACATAATGACTGGGCTACTGCTGGCTCTTCTTCTTCTTCTTCTGTATGGTTTTATATTGGGGTGGGTGGGTGGTATTTTATTTGGGAGTTGGTTTTATAATATTTTATTGTATGGCTTGTTACTATGATTTTCTACATGGTCAGAATCTGACCATATACAATGACTACATTAAAGAAAAGAATACCAAGATTCTATGTCCATTGCCTCCAAATAGAGGTGGTGATTATGCTAAGAAAGGTGGGGAGCAGGATAAATATCTTTTCCAGAAACTTTCCGCACATACTGCTGTCCCCAAGGTGGGCGCTGCTGCTTACGTAAGTATTCTACTTTCATAACACAGATGGAACATTCCTCTGAAAGAGGAGAGGCTATTTGTCAGAGGAATCAAGGTTTCTGCGTGGCCACCAGCCAGAAAGGAACATACTAAAATATAGAATCTAGACCCCTCAAGGAGTCTTGATCTCTCAGATTAAAGGTATGATGTTTTTGATGTGTTGATTATTTACTTAATTACAGCATATGTCTGTAGAGGAAAAGACAGAGGGAGTGGGAAATGACTAAAAGGACTTTTGGAGCAAGCAATGTGTTTTTAGGCACAAAGCCCACAGAGCTAAAAATATTGCCCTTAGTTCTTAAATAAACAAGCACATGGCAGACAGGTGATAAGGGTATGGAGTACAAATGCCTGCTGATAGGAATGGACAAGGCCACTTGCCTGCTGTAGGACAGCCTCCTGAGGGAAGCTGAACTCCTTGAGTTCGTTCTCATCATCATCGCTTGATGAGTGGAGATTGTGCATGTTAACCTGAAGAAGAAGAAAATAATTAGTTATAGGGTTCCTTCTGAAAGTGTCGTGAATATAAAGCAGAGATTATTTGCCCAGTTTTCAAGAAATACCTTAACAAAAGCTCAAATTCTGTACATACTGAATTTTCGGCAGAGACTCAAGTCCTCAGATTAGCTGAACAAGCTCCCTTTTCTAAACAGTGCTTCCCCATCCCTGGTTTGCTGTGACTTTGACACAGAGTTCTAGCTTTTCAATCATTATGGGCTATTTTGAAAGGGACAGTATGACAAAGATGCCAGGAACCCAGGGCTGAAGTGGGTAGCTGCAGCTGACTTAAATTACTGATCCTCTGGCTATATAGGAAATAGAATGCATTCTTAGAAATACCAATATAGAGTTCCCTAGTAATTTCCCCAGATCACTAGCCAAGCTGAGCCATCTGGAGAAATCTATTTCTAAAATTTGCGATGTAATTGAAGTTTAGACATAAAGCATGAAGAGTGTGAAATTACTAGGAAATGCTTCCCTCAAGTAAGAGAAGATAGATATCAATCTCCAGTGGAATAGTTTTCACAACTCTGCCAGAGATTTTATATAGAACCAAGTCTAGAATACTATAATAAGCATAGAAAAGAAAAAACTAACTAGATCCACAGTGTTCTTCTTATTGGTTTCTGATAAAGGTCCCGAGATAAATTTTTCCCACTGTTCTTGGTCTTCTTCAGGCATCTCTGAAAATCAGAAAATGTAAGTAGCCTAAAGCTGGGGAATGGAAGGAGAAGGCAAATAAATACACTGAGGAGTAAGTTAGTTGCCCAACCTTTCTGTCTCTGGGAGCTGGCGTGTGTGTGTGTGTGTGTGTGTGTGTGTGTGTGTGTGTGTGTGTGTGTATTTGTGTGAGTGGCCAACAAGCATGCACACTCACAAATGGAGTGCACATGCATGCCTACTGCTTCAGTGATCCAGTTCCAAATGGCTCATGGCCCAGTAGTGGACCACAGCCCAGGAGCTGGGAACATCTGAGCTGGTCCACAGGATGCAACAAAATTCAGGGGTCAGAAAACATAGTGGCCCATAGTAACTAGGAGCCAGACAGCCTCAAAGAAATCAATGAGGTAACCTTTTCCTTGTTTGAGGAACACAGAAAGGTTCTTCCATAAAATTATGACATATTTTAACCTTGATTTATTGGCAAAACCTTAGTGCCTTAGTTCATGCAGAAGCCAAAATCAAAAAGTCATCTTTGTGTGAAGCCAGCCGCCTTTGGTTAGCAGCTGTTCTGGCTACATTGTGTAAGGTGGGCTTTTTTTTTTTTTTTTTTGCTACCAAGAAGTATTTAGGTCCTAACTCTAGCCACTTTTAGTAAATAATTGTGTGGCAGTTTGCAAGTTCATAGCAAGTGGAAGTATGAAAAGTAACCATTACTTTAGCCCACTATTGGAGGATTCTGAAGTTGTAGTCCTTCATATAAAGTTCAGGAAAATTTATTCTGGTTAATTGATGCATATCTCCCCTCTAAATTTTTTGGTCAAGTCTTCTTTCTCAATCCCTAACAAGACTTACAAGCTATTTTCCCAACTTCAAAACTGCACATTTATAAACACACAGAACATTTGCAGAATTATATGCATTCAGTAATTTAAACTAGCCTTTCAAGACGTAAAACCACAGAACACAGAATATTAACCCTATTTTGGCCTATTCGTGTCTCTACCTTAGCTGAAAATACCCTCTGTTAGCAGTAGATCTTATTTCCCTGCCTCAAATCTTCATTGGGAACCCATATTTTTCCTCTCCTAAAAGGCAGGAAACAAACTCCTATACAGTTTCCAAAAACAGCTAATTTCAGCAGCTAAAAAAGTACTTTAGCCAATCCTGAACAAGAAAGATAATCTTCACTCCCTGAAGCTGCCCTTCGCGTTACCTTTTAAGAGCTGCTTGATGAGATTGGAATGAGGCCACTTCTCAGAACCTTGAGCTAAGGCATTGGCAATCCGGGTGAGGTGCCCCATATAGCCCTTGCGTCTTCCCCCATCCAATCTGTAGGAGATGACAGAGAGAATGGAGGCTGGTGGTGGCTGTGGGTATGACTTGCATAGTTTGAAAAAAGAAGAAATAAACAAATGACAAGAGGAAAGGAGACTTTAGTGCTTCTATGGAGCTCGTAAGTTGAAGCTATTCCGATTGGTCTGCATGCAGGGAAAAGAAAAGGATCTCCAGATAATCCTTCAATGCCCAGCAACTCCAGCCAACAGGGCTAATTTGAAAGATGCTAGAAAGTGCAGTTCAGCTCTTTCTGGAGAATAACAAATGAAACTGTTTTGTGAAGAAAGAAAAGAAGCCAGTAAATACCTCCATGAAAACCATGAGTAGAAGAGACTAAGCAACAGGGGCCTGAAGCATGAGGGAAGGAGCAAAGAAGGATCAAGATATGGAAGAACTCCTTGGGACTCTTTCTGAAGGAAGAGGAGGAAGAGAGGAGAAATGTCTAACCAGGAGACTAAAGGTTTCACCTTAACTACTTACTGAGACTGCTCATTCTCCTCCCAGGCAGATAAAATTCTTTGGATTAAGCGACATTTCTGTAGCAACTACAAGGAGAAAACAGGAGACAATTGATACAATACCTGCTAATTAGAGGGGCACCAATGCCTATACCTCAATAAAAGACTAGTGGGGTTTTATATGGCTATTTTAAAAAGTTTCCAGAGCTCATCAGTTGAACACAAAAGTCTAAGCAGTTGAGGGATGGTGGTGGCTTCTGCCCAAAGACAAAAAGGAAGACTTCTGAGATCAATTGTTAACCACTTCCTTAGATACTTCTTCCAGCTTGTTAATAAGCCAGGCATTCACTTCTCCAATAGAAGAGAATATTTGTAACTCAGAGTTGAATTGTGGCGTCCTTGGTGCTCTCTGAGCTTGGTAGTTTTCTTGCAGATGTTTCATTACCAACTAGATAACATCATCAGTGCTAGAAGAGGGTGAGATTTGCATCACTGATGATAATACCTACTTGGGTAATGAAACATCTGTAAAAAAAAAACAACCAGGCTCAGAGAGCACCAAGGACACCACAACCCCCTCCTCTTCTTGTTATTTCAAAGTTGTCTCACTCCCTTTATACTTACAGTATATGGTTCATTTCAGTTTATCTCCTTTCAATTTCCAAACATCAGGATTCAGGATCAAAGCAGAGTACTGCTTCTCTCATCAATGACACAGAAGGATCTTGAACCCACAGACAATCCACATAACTTACATGTTGGATGACTGGACTTTCTGGGTAGGGCTCTGAGTGGTTCTCTATCGTTTCATCTCCAACAAGGGGGCTGAAAATGTTGCTAAGGCAGGCCTCCACTTGGGCATGCAAAAAGTTGTTGTAGGTATACTTGAAGTAGAGGTTCTGACAGCGAGAGACAAAAGAATAGAATAGCAGGTCTTTATTTATGCCTTTCAACCAATACTCCCAATTATTGTAGCACCAGATTTCCCCTCAGACATGGTATAGCATGGAGCACCAGCAATACCGTGTTTCCCCGAAAATAAGACTTGGTCTTTTTTTTTTGCTTCCAAAAGAGGCACCAGGTCTTATTTGGGGGGGGGGGTGTTTTCCACAGTCTCACCTCATAGTGACAGCACTGACAGCCTTGCCTAGATGGCCCACTTCTTCTGCTGCCACTCACCGCTGCTCACACGCGTCGCCCCCCAGCCTCCATTTTGCTGTCAGAGGCCTTCAGGAAATGCTTCTGCAGCTAAAAATGGAGCTCTGGGTAGCTCGGTTCTTGGCTGCAGAGGCCTTTCTGGAAGGCCTCCGAGGGTGAAATGCAGGCCAGGGGGTGCTGCGCGCATCAATCCAGAGCTCCATTCTCAGCTGCAGAGGCATTACCTGAAGCCTCTGATGCATGCAAGCGGCTGCAGAAGAAGTGGCCAATGTTAGGTGTCGATTCATGGGAGGCCTGGCTGCTAGGGTTAAGCGGGTACGGGGCGTGTGGGACAGCTCCACCCCCAGCTTGATTTTTAGGCTGCACCTCGCCCCCAAACTAGGGCTTATTTTTAGGGTAGGGCGTATATTAGGCCCACCCTCAAAAATCAAGCTAGGGCTAATGAATCAGGTAGGTCTTACTTTTGGGAAAACATGGTAGGTGTATGTATTCCATGTTTTGTATTTTTATTGAGCCGTTATGCAGTTTTAAATTATCTTGTAACATGGGTACACAATATGGTCCAGAAATGTAGCAGTTTCAAAGAAACCTGAGATGCTCTTAGTTTTAATGGAGGCAGCTCCTGAAATATAATTGATTATGTAGCCATATCAGAAACATATAGACAAATCTATGCATAATTTGATTCTTTCTTATCAAATATACATTTTGGAGATTTATATTAATATGTTGTTCTTAGTTATTTTGGTTTGGCTTTTTAAAATATTTTTTAACCCATTTTTTTTCACATACAATTCAAGGAGGCAAACATACCAATATTCTTTCTTCCTCTTATTTTCCCCACAAAAACAATCCTGTAGGTGGTCCTCACTCACTGACTTCAATTGGGATTGGCAATTCCATTGCTAAGCAATGTGTTTATTAAGTGCAATGTGACATGACCACATTGATTTATGTCAGTTTCAGCTGCAGTCGTTAACAGAATCACTATGAGTCATTAAGTGTGACATCATTTGTCCTCAACTTGCTACTTCCTGCTGCCTCCCCACTGACTTTGCTTGTTAGAAGCCAGCTGTGATAGTCACAAATAGGGACTATATGATTGTGGGATGCTGCAACCATCCAATGTGTGTGCCAGTTGCCAAGTACCTAAATCATGATCATGTGACTGTGAGCATGTTGCAATGATTGCAACTTTGAAGACCAGTTGTCTCATTTTTCATTGCTATCAGAGCTTTGGAAAGTTGTTGAATGAGTGGTCAGTACTGGGAATGATTCCAAGCTGGCTCATTTTTCTGTACGAGTCCTTAAATGTCACTTGCAAGCCAAGCATGATCCTTAAGCTACAAAATGTTACACACCTTTGCCTTTTGCCTCCTGCTCACAAAAGAAGAGTGTAGCTTTTAAGAGGCAGCCAAATGCTTCGCCCACAGATCAGAGAGAAATCCCAGCCAACAGTGGCAGTATTGATACTCACCAACATAGTGTCAAGGGCCCCAAGTTCAATGATCTCATCTTGCAGTGCTGCGTTGTTTGTACCCAATGAGCTGGCCAGCAGCTTCACGACATGCAGACGAGTGTTTCCTAAAGGAGGGTCCAGGACCCCCCAGGTAGTCTGCAGGGCTTCTTTCTGTTAGAAGAAAAGTATATTTTTTAAAAAAAAAAACACATCACACATCTAGTGTCTCCCTCCGCATCCCTAATATTCCAAAGCTTGAGCATGCGAGGCCAAAATTTTTCTCTTGGAAAAACTGGGAGGGGCAGTTAAGATGTAAAACAGAGGGCCTTGCCCAATTTAAAATCTTGCTCCCCCACATTTAAAGAATTCCAGCTCCACTACTTTCAACATTTCTCCCTATCTCCAAACTAATAACTCTACCCTAAGAACATATATACAGATTTTTTTTTAAAGATACAAAATCCATTTCCAGCATTTTTCATTGCTTGGCCATATGTTCTTTCATATGGCAAGCGCTAAGTTTACTAATTCCCAAGCATGTATTCTCAAATGTCTTGATAAAACTAAACTCCCCAGCCCTTGCACTGCGTAGTCCTTTTGTGTGTTAATGCACTGAAGGTTCCATGAGGGAAACAGGGGAATCCTTCTGCAATCAACATTCTGGAACACTTAAAACGCCATTGGCACTGCTACTTCCTTCCCTGCTGTTTCAATTGTACTCTGATCTTGCCTGTACACATGCATGCCTACTAACCTTTGGTGGATCAAGGAGCAGCTGATGAAGCTCCCTGAGACGCTGTTTGATGGCATGCAGAGTGCCCAAACTGGCCTGGCTGGAAGCCACTTCACAGTTGGGACCAGTCATCTCCATCTGCCCCTCCAGATTGCAATAAAAGCCCCCTATGCCACCCAAGTCACTCCTGCAAGGAAGATCAAAGGAGGCACACATTACAGGGATGCATTCTCACTAGTCCACCTTTCCGGCTAAGGAAATTTAAACTCTTTGATGCAAATCAAATGCACCAAGGGAACTGTTCTGGACTACTGTTTGAGAGTCTCTTTGAAGAAAAAATACTGGAATAACTAAAGCCCTAACTCATGTGGTGGCAGATACAGATGTTATGAACAAGAAACTGTTTGCTAAAATTCTAAAGACACAGTTGTTTGTAGAGCCCTATTCCAGTTACTACAGTCTTCACAAGGTACTATCAGAGGATTTCTGCTGATAGTGATCACCAGATATTAGTAATAATAATTTTTAAAATGAAAAACATGACAATCAGGATACAACACTGCTACAAACTGTATACATTTGTTGAGGAATATTTCATACAATTCTGTTAAGCTTTTTGGCTCTATATTGCTGCTCTGAATGTGACAAATATTTTATTGCTCTCAGTCCTCATTTGCTGCATACCTGGGTCTTCGTGGTTCCAGCAGGGTCAGCAAGACTTGGATCCCATTGACTATGACAGATTCGCTCTGTTCTCCATCCAGCATATTGCTTAGCAGCTGCTCAATTGTCTCCTGTCTGGATGCAGGGGAATGGAAATTGTTTTTACTAAATTGTCCCATGATCTTAGAGCTGGCTATTTAATTTTTCATCTTTGCATGTGCCACAATGACATAAAAAGAGGGAGAATAAAAAAGTAACAAAAATGAGATTTATTTATTTTTTTACTTAGGAACTGACCTCCCAAAATAGGGGAAGCTCAAGAGAGAGCATCTTTTGGTATTAATCAACTGGTAATCCTTGCATTTGACTCTGAACTATGTAGCAATATGAACTTTCACAATTAAAGGGAGGACCTTCAAACCTTTCTGAGCTCCAAGATTCTGAAACAATATTCTGTGCAGATTCTTTATACTTGAGTGTAACTGTAAGCAAAGGAAAAATCTAATGGAAAAAGGTCCGATGATCCTGTCAAATGATATTCCTGGTAACTGACATTCCTCTCTCCCCCCCTCCCCCTCCCAGGCATACTCAAAAAGCTAACAAACTAGAAGCTTGCATTCCTGCCCTATAATTAAAGCTTTGTTGTGTCTTGCTACTAATCTGACATTTTTAAATATAGGGGAATGGATCTAATTAACTAAACATAATTTGTGAAAATTAGTTGCTTTAAATCTAGCTTTTGTCTTGGCCCTGTCCCTTTCTATAGTCTAGTTTTACTCCCTCTTTGGAATGTGGCCAGTAAAAAGCCATATATGACCTTCAACTTGAAAAAGGCTGTGCACTTAGCTGCTCTATAATGTTCCAAACAGTACTTTTTTATTGAGAGATATGAAGCAAAGAATTTTGGATGGTCATTCAGCAATACAAGTCCTCCAAGATTGCAGAATGACTCTGAAGGTTTAATTTCAAGCCATGAGTTAATGGGCTGGGGAAAGCTTCTTCAAGAAATTTCTCGGTGTATTATGTGATAAAATTGCTATGTTCTAATTATGAAAACATATTCCTAATGAAGATTGACCTAGCACCATTCTTTTTTTTTTTTGCCACCAGACCAACTACAAAATCCATTTCTCTAGCATTAACTATTTTTAAACCCACAGTGTTTATTAAATTTGTTACATCTGATTATTTTATGTAATTTTGACTATTTCTGCCTTTTATTATTATTAATCAATATTATTAATTGATATTGTTCTATATAGCTTGCTTCATTATCTCAGAAGGTGAGCAGTGTTTTTAAAGTATAGAAACCAGGAACTTTAAGGAGAGATCTCGAATATTAACAGCCAAACATGGAGGCCAGCTGCTGGGGTCTGTCAGGATAAGAACAAGATATGTTGCGTTTCTATAACAGTGGAGGCATTTTAACAACAGGAGAGGGGCATAATACACAGAATCAAAAAACAAAGCTGGGAACATTTCATTAAGAAATGATACTGGCTGAGTAAAGCAACACCACTCAGTTTTCATTTGACAAATAACAATGGTATTGAACTCTTTGAGTTAGTTCAAAGCCTGAATATACCACATGTGTTTTTTTTTAAGCCTTGTGTATAATTCCTAGAGTACTTCATGCAGTTGCCAATAAGCTAAAAGTATTAATGTGACAGAAGGGGGAAGATATTAAATACAGGGGAAGTAATCATATTAACTATATTTACTGGAATACTATTAAATCAAATTTAGTTGTGTAGACTCTTGTCCACTTTTGGGACTGAAGCCCTAGCAACCCAGTGAAAGATAAAACTGACTGCTCAGCCTCATTATAGCCTTGAACTCAAAAAAGGAGGTAGACCACTGAAAACAGGTTCCCTCTTTCACTTATAATTGAAACTAGACAACCTGTGCATTGTTGGGTAATCATTTCAGAGATATTTCCTTAATAATTACCTAAACAGAGAAATAGAACTACCAAGGATCAAGGGCAAAAAAGAAGTGGGAGCAGGAGCAACTTCTGACTTCCTGCCTTAATGCTCCTCCATTAAGTTTTCTTGAGGGAATCTGGCAGGGAGCATAGGAAATCTTCCCTTCCTCTCCCAGCAGGCAGATAAGTGACCACTGCTGGATGGGGGAAGAAGCAAGGGATTGTGAGAATGTTAAAAATGAAGATCATATGACTTCAGTAGTTGTACAGCAGCATCGAAACAGCCACAACTTTCCCAAATTATATTTCCTTGGGAGCCAGGGGTCCAGGATTCTGAACATACTTTGTACATTAGCCTATTGAAGGTCTCCTGGTTCAAAAATGGTTGCCCTATGATGCACCATTTTACCCAATTAAAGGTCACGACAATAAGAGCTTAGTAGTATATAGATAGCAGTCATATTAAAAATGAGGTGAATTTTGATAAACAGGCATTTCCTCTTTCAAATTCATTTCAGCGTTAGAGAGTGACACTTATTTCTAACCTAAGGGCAATGGTGCCTCTTTTGTTCCCTGCTGCTGGTGCTTAGCACTCACTTCTCAAGCGTGGCCAGTAACTGGTCCGGCTCAGGACTATCCTGGATTTGGATCATCTGTTCACGGCTCAGCCGGATAATATCACACAAAGACTGCGAAGCATTGGAATGTTGCTGGGAAGAGGGAACAAGAAAAAAAAAAAACCTTATGAAGATCTCTTCTAGTTGGCACAGCACCTGAATGCACCAGAACTACAGCAAAGCAATTGCTTGTTTCAGTTTCCATTTACTGTTATCGATCAGAAGAAAGCAATCCAATGGCAGGACCAACACTGCACACAACTTATATACAAATAAGTACCTCTATAGTTGTAATTGCTACTTACATTGTCGTCTTTTGAAGGGTGGATCATCCCAATAAGCCTCTGTACAATTTTCTCCTCATTAAGCCACTTTGGATGATGAAAACAAAAGAATGGTAAGACTAAAGAAAGATGTCTCAGATCTGCTCTACTTATACATTGAAACTGACTCAGGGACAAATGCAGTTCCAGTGATGCGTCACCTTTCCCCCAAAGTCTATCACTGAGCTATGTTTATTAGTGTAACAGTAAAAAAAAACACCTGATAATAAAATCTGACCAGTGAAAAGGATCAAAAGAAATGGAATATACATGTAAAAATAATTATCAAGATTTCGGAAGATTCAAGTGGTGGTTATTCTAGATAAATAGGTTAATAGGTATTCACTGACTTTAAAGCTTTTATACCTAATTCTTGATGGGCAGGAAATGGTTCTTGCTTGGTGAAGATGCAGTAGAACATTGTGATACCTACAATAATCCATTTAATCCATTTAAGTCTTTTAAATGGCTATTGCTCATAAGAAAGAAAACTAGGGCATGACAGAGTTATAATATGGTTTGGATTGACTAACACATCAGATCTTTTACTTAATTATATATCTCCACAGAACAAGGAAATAATACCATTTCAAAGCGGATCATCATATTTCTAGACAAACTGACCAAAATAACAAAAGCTATATAGAAACCTATATTGTTTGCTCTTCCAAGAAAGCAAAGAGAAGTAGACAAGAATGCCTACAGCTGGATCCTTACATTGAATACGTCTTGCCTGAGCTGTGATTGCTCCACACAGGTTAGGAGTCGCAGCAGGAGGTCCATGATGGCTGAGGTACCAATGTGATGTAGCAGCAGGTTGACAAAGTCATCCTTCTTACGCAAGAAGGCAACTATCTGGAAAAAAACCAAATAAATTAGGATTGAGGGGAAGGGGGTAAAAGCCACTCTGGAAACAAATGGCCCTACAAAATTCTATCCTCAATATGGGAGTAGAATGGTCAACTCCCACATAAGGGGAAAATAATATGTATTATATATAGCTGAGTCTATAGTTAATTTGTTGACAATCTTGCATGGAAATGGGCCATACCGCATATCGGCATAATCATGAAGTATACGTTTTTGCAATCCTTGGGCAATATAATAGTTAGACCACGTAACTGTGATTAGGTATCCCCAGGTTCAAATTCCTACTCAGCCATGAAGTTCAAATGAGTCACCACTGTAACTTAGCATACAGGAATGTTATAAAGATAAAACGGATATAGTTCCTTAAAGGATGGGCAAGATAAAACAAATACCATAGCAGCTAGATTACAGAGAATCTCCATTTTGAACATTAGCTTATTTTACAAATTAGTCAATCATATGCTTTAAGAAACTTGGTCATTTGATAATCAATAATTATTCTCAGTAAAATACTTATTGCTGAAATGTATATTATTTGTATGTGATAATTAATATTTTAGGATATTATCTTTTCATGTAGGAGCTATTTACACTTCTGAAGATCCACTAAATAATTGGTTCAATTAAATTCATGACAAGCTATATTCTAGGTCTTCTACAAGTTATTTTCAAAGCTTTATGTGACTATACCAGCTTGGCTAGGTTGCTGCCACTAGCTGACCTTCAATGAACTTGAAAAGCTAATCCACTGTAACCTGGTTAGTATTTGATGGGAGAATACAAGAAGAACCTAACCAGGCCGAGAAGTTAAAAATATATCCTGGAAGAAGGCAATAACAAACTGCTACCATACTGTGTCAACAAAGCTAGGTGAACACACCCACAAAGTCACCATGAGCTGATGGTATTTCAATGGAGTCTTTGCCTTTTGTGTGTGTGAATGAGCAAACTAGAAAGGAAAATGATAGAAGTCCCTTGAGATGAACCATATGATTAGTGAGGGAGGGAATTATCAGTTATGATTAAGCTTTCTTTCTTTCTTTAGCAGTCCAAAAAAACTTTAAGATATTACCTGATCAGTCTTACGATTGATAAGAATCCCCATAACCTTGCTGAAGAAGCTGGCCAACAGAGGATTGAGGATTCCACCAGTCTGAAGGAAACCATAGAGACGTCGCAGGAGAGATTCATCCTCACCCAGTGCATCATTTATCTGTGTGACGTCTGATGTCAAGATCTCGCAAGAAACACTTGGATATCTAAAAACGGGCGATTTTTAAAAGTAGATGTAGATCAAACCCTGCTGCACAAATATCTCTCCCAAGTTTGACTACTGACTGAAAATGAAGAAAAATAATCTGCAGAGTAAAATGTTAACAGAATTTATTCAGAATCTGAAGTTCTGTGTTTCTAATTTGCATTTTGCTCTGAGTAGCTATTGGTATTTCCTTAATTTGTCCAGTTCATTGCAGTGATTGTAGCATTAGGATATTTCCAGAACACTATATATTCATCAATTACTCAGTGCAAGTATCACCACTTTTCTTTGAATTCCAAAGATATAGAATTATAGTAAGAAACTAGTTTGAAGCTTTCAATAATAATCATGTGTAATAATTAATAAAAATTATACAATTATAATCTGTAAAAATTATCATGTGCCAATAATAAAAAATTGGTGGGAAAAAACAATTGAAAAAGTAGTCATAAAGGAGCAGGTTAATATATTGTGAGATATCAAAACATAAACTGATGAAGTGTTGGTCCATAATACACCAGATTTAATTGTGGTTGAAAAAAGAAAAGTGTGGATAATTGATGTGACAATATCAGGGGATAGTATAATAAAAAACAAAAAATTGGGAAAGTTCACGAAGTATCAAAATCTGAAAATCAAAGTTGAAAGATTATGGCATAATCCAATCATGGTAGTCCCAGTGCTTGTTTGTTTATTTATAAAATTTAACTGCTGTCCATCTCGCCATGAGGACTCTGGTTATTGGAACACTGGGTACTATACCAAAAATATTTTTGGATGGCAGTTAGAAGAACTGCACATTGACAAAATTTCCACCTGTTAATTACAAAGACTATGTTGTTTGGATCTGCACATCTACTACACTAATAGAGTATAACATCCTAGATTCTTCAGAAGAACTTGATACATATGAATGCCAATACCAGCTAAAGAATTTGCAGCTATGATTTCACATTTATATATTTATTTAGAAATTTTATATTGCTACCTACTCGCACATGGCAACTCAAGACTGCTTACAGGACATAAAAGCTCAATATAAAAGAAATAAATAAAAACAATAAAAGATAAAAATAATATAATAACCCCCACATATGTGCATGTATAAGAAAAATAATAAAAGAAGCTAAATTGTTCTGGACTTTATAATTCAAACTGATAGGCACCTGCCATATAACATCCTAGACGTAACAACTGTGCATAAGAAAGACAAGAAAGTCTGGAAAGAGGACATGTAGTACCCAAAGATAGCAGAATACAAGAAAAGAACTACAGAAGACAACAAAATAGAACCTGCAAATAGAAATAGAACAACTGTGGCAAAAGAAAGCAAAGGTAGTATCAACAGTAATAGCACTTTGGTGGGTGTAAATCAAAATAACTGGAGCACCACTTTTAACACCTTAGGCCAGTGTTTCCCAAACTTGACAATTTTAAGGCATGTGAACTTCAACTCCCAGAATTCCACAGCCAGCAATGCTGGCTGTGGAATTCTGGGAGTTGAAGTCCACATGCCTTAAAATTGTCAAGTTTGGGAAACACTGCCTTAGGCATTGACAAAATCATCATCAGTTAATTACAAAAGGCAGCTTTATTCAGAACAGCTTATGTCTTGCTACAATATCTTTTAACACCATCAAAAATCCTCATCTGCCTATCCCAGGTCCTTGGGATGGGCAAATAACAACCAGAACTGGCAATGACTAAAAGCAGGAAAGAGAAGAGACAGAGGGGCTAATTCTGGCTGCACAAGACCAAATCTTAAGAAAAAATGTGCAGGTAGTCTTTGATTAACAACAGTTTGTTTAGTAACTGCGAAGTTACAAAAAGCCCTGAAAAAAAGTAACCTATGAGCATTTTTCACACAACCATTGCAGCACTCCCATGGACACATGATCACAAGTCAGATGCTTGGCTACTGACTCATATTTATGACGATTGCATGCGATCACCTTTTGTGACCTTCTGACAACCAAAGTCAATGGGGAAACCAGATTCACTTTACAATCATGTTATTAATTTAACAACTGCAGTGATTCACTTAACAACTGTAGCAAGAAAAGTTGCAAATTGGGGCAAAACTCATTTAACAAATGTCTCACTTAGCAACATAAATTTTGGGCTCAATTGTGGTTGTAAATTGAGAACTACCTATATACAAAGCCAGAATTGAGACAACAGCAACAGGAAGCAAATGCCACCTCTACAACTGCTAATCAGGACCACCTGATTAGCTGCTGCAAGAAGATCACACAGTCTGACAAAAACAACAGCAGGACAAGTAGCAACAATGTTGCATTGGAATATTTGAAAGAAATACCATTTGTTGGCAAGCAAGAATTGGCGGGATTACAAAATACACAAAGGAAATAGAAAATGAAGAAACTAAAGGCTCTGGGATTTTAGAATTCAAACAAATAAGTGCCTGCCACACAACCCCCCAAACCTAACAATTGTTGATAAATAAGACAAAAAAGTCTTGATAGTGGACAATGCAGTATCTGGAGAAAGCAAAATAGAAGAGAAAAGAACTAAGGAGCATAACAAAATACAAAGTAGAAGTAGAAAGTTTGTGTGGCAAAAGAAAGTAAAAATAGTACCAATAGTAAAAGTTTGTAATAATTCTTGGGTGCAATTCTAGAACAATAAGAGCATTGCTTGAACACCATCAGCATTGGCAAATTCTCCCTCAGTCAATTGCAAAAGGCAGCTTTACTTGGAACTGCCTGCATTCTGTGATGATACCTTTAATATTATTAAACTACAATGCCTACCTATCTCAGGTCCTTGGGAAGGACTCAATAGGTGGATAAAAATACCAAATCCAGTCTAATCATCTGGCTGTGCGATCAATCACAATAAAGGATGCCATACCAAGAAATCTTGTTTGGCCCTTTAAAAACCTCCGTGTTGACAAAACACGGCTGCTTGGCTCCATATATATACTATGCCAATACATTACAACATCCTAGGATCTTGAGAAAAACATAAAGCATATAAAAGCCAACACCAGCTAAAGAGCTGGCAACTGTGGCTTTACATTTTTGTGTATATAATAATTGCTAGGTAGATAAAAATGAGAAATCCAATCCAAATATCTGGCTGACTGTGCAACCATACATATTAAACTTGTATGCCACCTGATTCTGAAAGACTCTGTCATGAAAATCCAAAGAGTATATAACAAACAGAGGATTCATACATAATTTTGCCATTAAATTAAGGATCTATGTTGATTTTCTGCTGCTGTGCTATTTTAGTGCTTACTCATTCAAGGTATGGTTAGAACAACCATGGGTAGAAAGGCTGATGGAAGTCCTACACAACCCAGGCAACTGTCCATAATTTCTAGAATTATCTACAGTTATTCTGTATACTGTACTTCTACTAGGATCACTGAGTTGGTGATTCAGTAAGCATCTATGGCATGTGGGATCTTTTTCTCACTCAGACCAATTTAATTTAAATTTAAATTATGTTTTCCAGATTGCTGCTACATTACTCTCATTCTGTACATATTAAACCCCATTGGTCTGGTTTGTTAACTATTGCACATAGCATTCCCCCAATTTACACACAAAACATGGTTAAGCAGAAGGTTTGACCACTAACCTATTATTTTCCGCACTGGCTTTATTCACAAGTTATAGCTGAATGAATAATCTGCCCCTCCAGCCAACTAACCAATCTTCATATGCTAGTAGCACACAGCGGCAGGTAATTCAATTAGTTCAGCAGAAATTTATTCTGTTTTTCCAGCTATCATTTCATTGCCCACTTCATGGTATGTTACAGGTGGGAGGGGAGGAGTCTAGAGCAGCATCATTGAGCTCAAGGCTGCTATGGACAGGAAGATAGGAACATATCCATCCTCACTCATTTATGCTCCTTTTATACCTTCTTGTATAATCATGATGTGGAGATGAAAACCAGAACATCTAGTACCTAGAACAGCCCCATTTTTACAGGCAGCTTTTAGGATAATACTCCAGTTAAACATGCTACCTCCCCCTCTTTGTGCTCACTAAGTATTTGTGTGGAGAGGATGCAGAAATATGACTCTCCACAGTAGAATTGGGAAAGAGTCTGACACATAAATCTCCCTGGTTCTGGACATTTTGAAGACCTGAATTCTATCAGCAGAAGTCTCATATATTCATGCCTCTCCTTGAGGTCTGAAGATCTACTTACTTATAGCGCACTCTTTCATCCACATCTCCAGGGGGCTCCTCAGTCACACAAGTGACCAGAGCTTCCATATGTTCTGGCTGTACCAGGAAGTCTACAAGCTTTCGGTTGACCACCTTGCATTCCTGCAACACATCTTCTTCATCCAAAAGTTCAAAAAGGGTCACATTCCCACGCTCCAAAAGTGTGTCAATATGAGAAGTTGTGTGGAGATCAAACTTCCAGAACATGGCTTCCTAAAGGAAGTGAAAAAAGAACAAAAGCGGTCACTAAAAGGAGAAGAGTAGGTAGATGTGTATATACATTATAATTGTTTATATATATTTACATACATTTTCATCCACATTAAACAAGTCTTTCCAAATAAAATTGTACACCAGCTTTTTCAGCTACAAAGAGTATTTTGTATGAAGGGCCAAGCACAGAGCTTCTTTTGTTTAAAAACTACATTATGGATCCAGACTAGGAGGAAGAACAAAAGGCCACAGCTGAAAATACTAGCTAATATTGAGGAATTATGAGCTTGCTATAAAGGGGGAGGGAGAAGTTTAGGATTATTTAGGAAAAATTAAGTCATGAAATAAATGGTGAGCATATCCAGATCTAAGCAGTGATGGTGTAAAGGTACATAATAAGAATTTTAGGAATTAGGAGTTTCACAAACTTAGTAGATCCCAACAAAGTAGCATCAAATCCACGTTTGATTAAATACTAATATAATCCACACATGAAACAAAAAATCAGTTATACAAGAAGGAAGGCAATCTTATCAAGAGTGATGAAAACATTCCTGCAGATTACTGTAGCTGGAGCAGGATCAATAGGATGTATTTGAGCAATTGCAAGCTTTTGGAGAGTTGTAATCTGAATATTTTAACAAGAATATTAGTAAACTTAGGTAGAAGGAAAGCTATTATCAGAAATGTGCAATCAAGTTTCCAATCAATGTGAAATTACTTTATTGAGACGGGGCGTTGTCTTACCTGAACGCCTTTTCTCAGCAGGATGATGTAGAGTCCAATGGATGGGTTCTATGACAGCCTTCCTGCCCGGCAGACTGGGTAAAAACTTTGGCCACACCCCTCCTTTGGGCATGACCCCAGTTTTGACTGAGGCGAGAACCTTTGTTGGAATTGATATGATAGCTCCTTGTTCAATACCTGCCTAGACCTAATATCTGGGGGGGGCTTGGACTCTACATCATCCTGCTGAGAAAAGGCGTTCAGGTAAGACAACGCCCCTTCTCCAGCAGGATGGCTGTAGAGTCCAATGGATGGGACATACCAAAGCCCTCATGTCCCCCTGGGAGGGAGTGTCTAGGCCACTGAATCCTGAGCAGATACGACTTGCTGTAGCACTCTTCTACCAAAGGCAGCATCTGCTGCGGCAAAGGAGTCTAAACGGTAATGCCTAATGAATACAGAAGGAGAAGACCAGGTTGCGGCCTTGCAAATCTCCTCCACCGACGCTTGTGTTGACCACGCAGCAGATGTGGCTGCGCTGCGTGTTGAGTGGGCAGTCACGTGTGTGGGCACTGGAAGTGCCTGCGAGACGTAGGCTTGGGCTATACAGGCTCTAATCCACCTACCTATGGTAGAAGATGACACCTTCTTTTCCATAGTTGATGGTTGGAAGGAAACAAATAATGCTTCCGTCTTACGGAAGGACGAAGTGCGCTTCACATAGAAACACAGTGCTCTACGTACGTCCAGTTTGTGCCATCTATGTTCTAGCCTATGTCTGGGTTTTGGGCAGAAATCAGGAAGGATCAGTTCCTGAGATCTGTGGAAGATGCTGTTTACCTTCGGAATGAAAGCAGGGTCTGGTCTAAGAACGACCTTATCCTTGAGGAAGGTACAAAGGTCCTTCCTCACTGACAGTGCTGCTAGTTCCGAAATTCTCCTTGCTGAAGTAATAGCCACTAGAAAGGCTACCTTCAGCGATAGGTGATGAAGAGAACATGAGTCAAGAGGCTCAAATGGTGCTGATGTCAAGGCTTGAAGAACTTTGGGCAAGTTCCAAGACGGGTACCTGTGTATAACAGGAGGTTTAGTGTTGGTCGCCCCTTTTAAAAAAGCGCTAATCGCTGGATGTTGCGCCAGGGAGGTCACAGGAAAGTACAGTTGAGAGGGCCGATACCTGTCTACGAATAGTGTTGACTGATAAGCCCTTATTAAGTCCCTCCAATAGGTAATCTAGGATATTGGGAATAGATACTGCGGTTGGATCTAGGTGAAGAGGAACGCACCACCTGCAAAAACCTTTCCATGTAGCATCGTAGATCCTGTTTGTGGAAGGTCTTCTTGATGCTTGTATGATCGATATCACCCCTGAGGAGTAGGATTGCTTGGCTAAACTTTGCCGCTCAAATGCCAAACGGCTAGTTGTAGCCATTGCGGATCTGGATGCAACAGCTTGCCCTGACTGAGAATTACTCGGTCTGGGGGAATCCTCCATGGGGGTGATATCGAAAGATCCACGAGGTCGGCAAACCACGGGCGCCGTGGCAAATGTGGAGCAATCAAGATTACCTCTGCGCCTTCCAGGATCAACTTGCGTATGGTTGCCGGTATTAATGGCAGCGGTAGAAAGGCGTACAGGAGCTGCGCCAGCCACCGACACCTGAGAGCGTCCGTTCCCTCCGATCCCGGAGTCGGGAATCTGGAGAAGAACCTGGGGAGTTGTGTGTTCTTCGGGGTGGCAAATAGGTCCAAATGCGTCTGTCCGAACCTCCGGGAGATCTCCTCGAACAGAGCCGTATCCAGTCGCCATTCCGACTGGTCCACCTTGGCTCTGCTCAGGGAGTCTGCCTGGAGATTCGTCTCCCCTGAGATGTATTCCGCTCTGATGGAGCTCACATTGGTTTCTGCCCACCGAGCCAGAGCTAATGCCTCCTTCATTAGTTCCGCGGATCGCGTTCCTCCCTCCTTGTTGACATGGGCCTTGGCTGCTACGTTGTCTGCTAGAACGAGAACGTATCTTCTCGTTACTAGGTGGGAGAATTGACGTAGAGCCAGGTGAATGGCCCGAAGCTCCAGCCAATTGATGCTGTGAGAAAGGTCCTTCTGATCCAACTGGCCCTGCGCTATCTGGGTTCCCCATCCGAATAGGCTCGCATCTGTCATGAGCGTAATCCTGTTCGGCTCCCTGAATATACTCCCCTTGAGTATCATGGGAGATATCCACCAATTCAGTGATCTCAGTACCTGTTCTGGCACCAAGACCTTCCTGTTGGAGGTACTGAGATTCCTCCTCTGGTAGGGGAGGAGGAACCACTGCAACTCCCTTGAGTGGAGTCTTGCCCATGGGACAATGCCCATGCAAGATATCATCTTTCCCAGGAGCTTCGAGAGCTGTATCAGAGGTACTCTCCTGTTTCTCTGAACTTGGTGAACTAGCTTGGAGATGCTGGTCTGACGCTCCTGGGAAAGGTATACCCTGCACTGGGACGAGTCTATCACCGCGCCTAGGTGCTGCAGTTTCCTTGAGGGGGTGAGATGGCTCTTGTCTATATTGACCGAGAATCCGTGCTCTTGTAGGATTCGGATTGTGGTCTGGAGGTCTACTTTTGCCTGCTCCTGTGAGCTGGACTGAATCAAGATGTCGTCCAGATAAAACTGTACGCGCACCAGCATCAGCCTGAGATGGGCCGCTATTACGGCTAGAATTTTGGTAAATACCCTTGGGGCTGAGGATAGACCGAAGGGTAGGGCCCTGTATTGGTAATGCCGGCCCGCGTAGGTAAATCTGAGGAATTTGCGGTATCTGGGATGGATGGGGATATGCAGGTACGCCTCCGTGAGATCTATTGAGGACAGGAGGTCACCCTTCCTGACACTGGCTAGGATGGATTTCAAGGATTGCATCTTGAACCTCCTATAATTCACGTAATAATTCAGGCCCTTTAGGTCCAATATTGCTCTCCACCCTCCTGATGTCTTTGGGATCACAAAGAGGATGGAATAAAATCCTCTTCCTTCCTCTCCTTTTGGTACCTTCTCTATGGCCTGAATTGACAGGAGGTGTGCTATGGCCGAGATAACCAACCTTGCCTTGTGTGCTTTTCTGGAGATGGGACATCTGATGAACCGGTTTGGTGGGGGAGAACAAAAGTCTAAGGTCAGACCATTCCTGACTGTCTCCAAGACCCAGGCGTCGGTAATCGTCTGCTCCCAGACTTCGATGAAATTGCCTAACTGACCCCCTATGGGAGTGTCCTGTCTGGCGTCACTTGGCGCGTTTAAAGGGTCGGCATCCTCTAAAGGAACGTCTGGATTGGAACTGGCCTCTGGCTCCCATGTTTTGGCGATCCTGGGGACGATCCTGCCTCGAGTAGAAGGATCGTGAGCCTGTAGGCCAGTCCCAGGATTGCCCTGATTGAAAGGGTTGTCTCCAGCCCAGGAGTTGCTTGGGCGGAAACTTTGCCTCCGGAACTCCTGACTGCTTCTTCTGTCTAATTTCTTTGATGGATGGACTAGAATCTTTCTCTTATTCCTGCTCTCGCTTACATGTGGATCTAGGATGGATCCAAATAATGATGACCCATTGTACTTGGACGTCAAAAGACGCCACTTGGCCTTCAGATCTGTCTTCCAATTTTTGAGCAACAGTAGTCTACGAGAGGCCACTGTGGCAGCAATAGATCTTGCCGCATACTTGGTTGCGTGCAGTGAAGCGTCAGCCATAAATTGTGAGGCGGCCAGTATCTTGGCCAAAGTTTGGTGCGCTCTGACCTGATCTGGAGGTACGGTGGTTTGCAACTCCCGCAGCCACATGATGCAGGCCCTTGCGAAGAAGGATGATGATGTTGCTGCCTTGGCCGCCCAAGCTGCGGCCCTGTGGGAACGACGGAGGGAATGTTCAAATTTCTTTTCCTCTGGTTTCAAGGCCTCCGCCATGTCTCCTGGAATCGCGGAGGTAGAAAATAATGAGATCAGGGGACTATCTACTGCAGGGACATCTAGCATGCCCGAAAAGGAAGGGGACACATTGAAAAGCTTCCTTTCCACGCTATTGGGTGTAGGTGGAGTTGTGAGGGAAACCCATTGCTCCTCTACCGTGGTGCGGAAGACCTCCGGACAGGGGATGTATTTGTCCTGTGGGACTTTTTTGGCAAAGAGAGGGTTTGCCTCCTTGCTTGTGGAAGGATTCTCCTCCTGGACTGAGGTCAAACTGACCGTAGAGACTGCCTTTATCAGAAGTGATTTGAGAAGCGCTGGATCAAAGAGGCCAGAGCTCGTCGCCTGCTCAGGTGCGCTCCCCTCATCCTCCGAAAGGGGCATGTCTGTCATGTCTAGATCTAATGAGTCTCCCTCTCCTATCTGAGAGGAAGTCTCAGAAATGTTAGTAGGCGGAGCCCTGTTTCGTCCCTTATGGGATGGTTGAAAAGCTAATTGGCCCTTAGAGGCCATAAATTGAGAAAAGGCATCCTGCATGAATGCCTGAAATTGGGCCGACCATATGTCCTCCTGAGCTCTGTCCTTGGACCTAGCTACTGTGGGAGTATGGTCTGGTGTAGATGCTGGTGAAGAGGAATGAGAGGAGTCTAACTGTTCGGTTTCCCCCAGAGGAGACCAAGTTCTGAGAACTTCCTGGGAAGTAGGTTCTGCCGAGGGGGCCGCCAATGGGGCAGGGGAAACCATGTTTATCCCATTGGAGTTAGTCTTCTGGGCCCTGGCAAATTGTCTTTCTAGAGCCAAATGTCTCCTCGAGGCCTCTCGCTCAGCTGTTTTGGATGGTCCCCTTTGGGTAAGGTGTTTTGTCTTCGCTTTCTTCTTCCCCCCCCCACCTCAGATTCAGAGGATCTGCATTTTTGCTGTTGTTGTGGGGGGGACAATTGGGGGACCTGCATAGCTGAATACGAGACATTGTCTGCCATTGTGTCAGGTACCCCGAGTAGGCAATACCTGGAGTGGGGAATTAAGGTACGCAGATCAGTTGCAGATAATTGGGGACTAAGAGCCCTCTTCTGCACAGAAACAATGGCCGGACAGACAGGTTCCCTGAAAGGCAGGACCCTGTAGGGCAGTGAGTAAAGGTCACAAAAGGAAAACAGTTAGATAGAATTCAAATTCTCCTCAATTCCTTCACCAAAGTCAGTGGACAGGGATGTCCAGACCTAATGAGACTTCATTTGTAAATTGATAAACTATTTTCCCTGATCTGTGGCTGTAAAAACAGACCACAAGTTATGAGGAGGTAGTTCGCTCTTTCTTCCCTTCTCTTTCTATTACTATGCTGTTGTATTATTGGATAGATAATACTATCAAGTTATCAAATTTGTAATACAAGTAAAAGAACTCCGGATGGTAGATCCACCTAAAATGGCGGATTGAACTGTACTAATCAAAATGGCGCCTGAGAGGAGGCCACGCCTTCCAACAGCTAACTGAAGATGGAGCCACGAGGCTCAAAATGGCGATTCTTTGATGTTGAAGCAATCCGCCTAGAGGCCCAGAGACGTGAGCCTTGCGATGGCACAACCCCCCCCCCCGGACCGCGGCTATCCACGGGTGGCTGGGAGGTTTCTGGGGCGAGAGGGGAGAAGTTTGAGCCTATTATCTGCTTCCCCTAAGCGCCGATGGAGGAAGGCGGCTGAGCGGCCTGTTCGGCCCCGAGGCCTGCGCCTTTCAGCTGATTGGGGCGAGCAGCACAGCGGCTCTGTCGGCCGAACGGGCTGGGAATCCTCGCGCTTTACAGCTGATCGGTGTACCGAAGAGCGGCGAGCTCGCCTAGGTATTGACCGGCTCGATTCCCCTGGACAGAATCTCTAGCCCCACTCCGTCGATCGGCAATCTCCTCCTGAAACGGAGATCTGGCAACGGCTCAGAGCCCCGAGCCAGCAGAGTAGATGACTTTCTGCTAGAACTGGCTAGGTGAGAGAGGGATGGCAGAAAAGGAAAGAATTTTTTCTCTTTCAAGTTGAATTTCTTAGGAGCTAATTTTTTTGACTGCTACGGGCTTCGAGACTGAGTTAAAACTGGGGTCACGCCCAAAGGAGGGGTGTGGCCAAAGTTTTTACCCAGTCTGCCGGGCAGGAAGGCTGTCATAGAACCCATCCATTGGACTCTACAGCCATCCTGCTGGAGAATGATCATTCTAGAGAGGCTATTTGTACAGATTAATTATATGGTTATTTGTACCAATTATTCTATAATTGAGTTGTCCAACTTAGTTCAATGCTCCAAAACTTACACTAATGTAACCTCCTTAACCTCAACAAAACAATTATCCTAAGGAGATTATAGGAAATTAACTCCAGTAGCAAAAATTCCAATGTGTTCTAAATAATAAGCTCCTAATTAGAAGAAAGTAGTATACAAAACACACTGGAATTTATACAACAATGTACCTCTTGCAGTTGATATAGTTTGATTTTGTTTTAGGATACTGTTCATTTGGTATCTTTCCACAAGAGAATCTACAGAGGTTCTAATATTGAAGGTAGATGGAATATCTGCATGGTTCATATGTGAAGATATATATTGGTACATGAGCATTGAAATAAATAGAGTTGTTTAAGGTCACAAACAGGGTTATATAAATCATGCAGCAGTGATTTTTGAGAGCTACTATTCCTAAATCACATTAGGAAACTAGTTCATTCTTGAAGTTCCCAGGAACTGATCAGTCTACCCAGAACTTAGTTGTTGTTCTTGTGGAAAGAACTACTTGCCTCAGGGCTTGGCGCTTTTTGACATGTCACTCTCTCTGCAGAATTACTGCAATCCATTATTGCAATCCATCATGTTAAAGAACAGCAGATTGGGCAACTTTCCTCTCTTCTTCTCAAACCATGCTTATGACAAAAGTGGATCCTCAGTCGCATTACAAACTGCAAGCTTAATCAAGAAGATGAGAATAAATGTGACAGAACAACAGTACAACTGAATCTGCTTGTAAGGAAGGCATCGGTCTTTTCTCTCTCTTTCTCTCTTCTCCACTCCCCTGCAGTGGGTAACTTTCGTGAGTGAGATAGATCACATTTATGCTTGCAAGGTTCCCTAGCCACCACTGTAATTCGAAGTGGCAAAGGTTCTCTGTACTGCTGAGGTGGGGAAGAGAAGGAAAGAAACCTAGAGAAAAACAAACAGTAACTTGGTGACGCCCCGCTTCCCTTTTCAACCTTGTTGCCACCACAACTGTAAAGGCCAGAAGTTTTCATCTGGTATCCAGGCAACCTCTATACAAGACTTATGCAATACAGCAGAGCAGTTTTCAGAAAGTACGAACATAGAAGGGCAGGAAATGAAAGGAGGGAGGAAAAAGTGAAGACAGGACCCATGAGGTGATGTGCTTTATTTTATAGTGTCTAAGCTTTGGAATTTTCGCACCCAGAGAAACAGTTTTTCTGTTACTTTTTAAAAAGATTTGCTTTAGCTTAAAATAAACATACAAGCTAAGCAAATGGCTGATATACAAATAAAAACACTATCTAGAACAATAATGAAAACAGCAAAAACAGTTTTGCAAGGCAATGTATCTCTTACGTACAGGCAGCCCTTAACTTATAAGCATACACTTAACAATGGTTCAAAGTTATGACAACCTTGGAAAAAACTGTCCTAGAAGTTATGATCATTGCGGTACCTCCGCGGTCATCTGGTCGCAACTTGCCCGCTTGGGAACCAGCTCACTTTTACTACTGTTGCAGCATCTTGCAGTTGTGGAATTGCAGTTTGCAACCTTCCCGGCCAACTTCCGACAAGCAGTCAATTGGGAAACAACTGCGCGATTCATTTAACAACTACATGATTTGTTTAACAGACATAGTGGTTTGTTTAGTGACCTCAGGGGAAATGGTTTTAAAATTGGATCTGGTCATGTGATGATTGCTTAGTGATCAAAATTCTGCTCCCAGTTAGGACCACTTTATGCATGGCATTTTGATTTTCTTAAACATGCATTCAGTTATTTACACTACCATCTTCATATAGATTCAGATTCATATAAAACCCAGAAAATATAAAACAATTTAACATTCTTTCACAAGGCCCTGAAGACCTCATTTTGCCAATGAACCTGGGGAACCCAGAGTGGGATGGAGCTCATCAAGTTTCTTGTTTGATTGCTTGCTGTTGTGTTTGTGTGTGTGTAATTGCTTTTACTCTATATTGGGTATTTGGTTGCCCTCTGGAAAACTGCAAGAGATGCACCATCTGGATCACAAGAGGCAAGGTATTCCATTATATCAGTGGTTCTCAACCTTTCTAATGCCGCAACCCCCATAATACTGTTCCCCATGTTGTGGTGACCCCCAACCACTTATACATCACCGGGTGCCAGGGGCGTGGCCAAAGAAAAGGGGAAAAAAATGGCGGACAGCCTTGTTTGGTGACCCCCGTGAAATGGTCGTTCGACCCCAAATGGGTCCCGACCCACAGGTTGAGAACCACTGCATTATATAGAGGCATTTTGATGCCAGACTTAAAGAGGACAGAATGTAGTAGTTTGAATTTCCAAGCACCAGGCTCATGCTTGTAAAATCCCAGGTTTCCCCCAATTTGTTACATTTCTTAGTTTGAATAGCAGAGGAAACATATTATCTACCAGGAACCCTTAGGAGCTAAACAAATGATTTTTTAAACAGCAATGCAAAAAAAAAAAAAAGTTCTGAAACCAGTAGCCCAAACTCTTGTATCAAAGGGAATATTCCAGTCCTGAAAATGTAGTAATTCTAAAAGGCCAAATTTGATACTTGTTCAGAGGAGCCAGAAAGAAGCTCCATTAATTTAAAGTCAAAGCTGCTTATATGCAAGCCTCACATGTAACTTAACGAATAAGAGATTTGGTCTCTTAATTCCCACTTCATCACAGATTACTTGAAAATGAAAGCAAATGTTTAAAAATAAATCTTTTTGCAAAAATTGATTTAATGGTTTTCAGAAACCCCTAGTGATTTGCAAAATGGTTTTGAAAAATCCCCAGTGATTGCAAACAAAATCTCCTTTGGCACCAGGGAGGAGATTAGAAGCAACTGCAGAGTTGAAGAGCGAAAGATTAATATACATTTTATGCAATTCAAATCCTTAAAGATATTTAGAACAGGAAAAGCATCACAATGGTGCAGAACCCTTTCTGTTGTTATAAGGTTAACAACCCACTTTTATTCAACCCACGGAATTGCTAGAAAGCTGTGGAGTTTAACATTATTAGATCTGATATAAATGCACTATTAACGGTGTGTTTTCAAAGTTATCCCCAACGTGGCTAATACTATTCCATAATTTTCTATAATTTTAATATCCTTTGAGGAGAAAGTGGGCACAATAAATTATCTAATTTTTCTATTTGTGCTAGATAAACTGAGACTGCTTTGGTTGCACTGACCGATGACCTCTGGCGAGCCCGGGATAGGGGTCATTCCTCTATCTTGGTGCTTCTTGACCTCTCAGCAGCTTTCGATACCATCGACCATGGTATCCTTCTGCGTCGTCT